GGGGAAGAGCCATTCCCAGAGCCATCCCACAGCCATCCCAGAGCCATCCCAGGGCCATCCCAGAGCCATTCCAGAGCCATCCCAGAGCCATCCCACAGCCATCCCACAGCCATCCCACAGCCATCCCAGAGCCATCCCACAGCCATCCCAGAGCCATCTCAGGGCCATTCCAGAGCTCCCCCAGCCTCTCTGGCTGTGCCAGGAGGAAGAGGATGGTTCTCAATTAACTCCAGTAATGAGTCCTGGGAGCACCCAGCCCTGCTAAACGTGCCGGGCTGCGGGGCAGGGCCCAGCCAGGCCCCAGAGAAGGGAACCAGGGCAGGAAGGAGCCAGAGCCAGAACTGGGGCTGGGTTTTGTGCTGGGAGCCCGGATGGGACCCGGCAGGGCAGGAGGGGCAGCAGGCTGCTGTGCCATTGCAGCGGGCTGGTGGCAGCGTGGCAGGGCACAGGGGACCCAGCAGGGCCAGCAGGAGGGTGAGGAGCTGGCCAGGCAGGAGCTGAGGTGGCCAGGAGCCCAGGGCAGTGCGGTGGCCAGTCTGGGGGAGCCCTCGGGGGGGCTGGAGCTGCCCAAACCCCCCCGAAAGCGCCGAGCCCCCAGCTCCATCTGGGGCACAGCCAGCCCTGCTCTGGGGGCGTTTGCTGCCCCAAGGATGCTCCCAGCTCACAGTGGGAGCTCAGACCCCCCTGCCCGGCCGGCCCTGGGCTGGGGGCTGCCCAGGGGCACCGGGGAGCTGCTCCAGCCCTGCCCATCCCGTGGGAAGGCTCCTGCAGCATTCCTGGGGCCGGGAAAGCCAGATCCCCCCGGAGCGGGGCAGGACCCGGCCGCTCCCCGGGCAGTGGACACGGGGCTCCTCCTGCTCCTGGTGCCCACGGCAGTGCCCCAGGAAGGCAATCCTGCCCCTCGGCAGCCGGGAGCCCCTTCTGGCCCGGGCTCGGCGGTGCCAGCGCCTGGCCCGGGCTCGGGTCACGTTGGCATTACCTCATGCCTGGTGTCCCCTGCCAGCTCTCTGCTCCGTGCCGAGGGCCACCGCAAACTGCCGCGGGTCTGTGCAGGAAAACCCAACACACGGGGCTTTTCAGCAGCCATCTCTGCTTCCGTGGGGTTTGGGGGCTGGAGCGCTCACCCGGGGGAGCCCCTGCCGCCCCCCGGGACCCTGTGGGCTGATTGAGCTCCTCACGGGAGCTGAGCCACTGCCACTGCCTCAGAGCAGCCCTGGGGGCGAGAGCCCCCCGGGACCCTGTGGGCTGACTGAGCTCCTCGGGAGCTGAGCCACTGCCTCAGAGCAGCCCTGGGGGCGAGGGGAGGGTGCTGAGAGCTGCCCCTGCCCCTGGCGCTGTCCCACAGCAGGGACGGAGTTTTCCGTGCCTGGGGGGGAAGGGGAGCTGCCTGTGCTGGCAGCAGAGCTGTCCCGGGGTGGGCACAGCAAAGGGCCAGCCTGGACATCCTACACATGCTCTAGGCTGACCCCCTGAGAGCCAAAACCCAGAGTGAGCGAGGCTGCCCCGAGGTGCAGCCAGGGAGGGGTGCAGGAGAGGGCCAGGAGCCCAGGTCCCTCCCTGGCTGGGTCCTGCACATCCCCACTGCAGGCTGGGCTTGTCCCCAGGGCCACAGGGAAGTGTTTCCAGCCTGGTCATCGTCCTGGTCCTCAGGATGTCCTGAAGCTCCAAGTTCCAGGGTCACTGAGCACTGCAGCCTTTGATTTACTGAAACCCATTGCCCTGGGCTCCTCATCCCCTGTGAGGGGGCAAACAGGGAATAATGGGATGTGCAGGGCACAGGGGAATATTTCCAGCCTGGTCATCGTCCTGGTCCTCAGGATGTCCTGAAGCTCCAAGTTCCAGGGTCACTGAGCACTGCAGCCTTTGATTTACTGAAACCCATTGCCCTGGGCTCCTCATCCCCTGTGAGGGGGCAAACAGGGAATAATGGGATGCCACTGGACATTTCCCCACTCTGGTCACGGCCTGCACCTCTCCAGGCCCTGTTTTCTCTGCAGCCCGACCCTCAGGGGCATTCCCTGCGTGCCCAGGGGGGTTGTTGCCTCCTTGCCCCTGGGCTGGGCTCTGGGATTGCAGAGGCAGCAGCTGCCCCAGCGAGGGGAGAGCTGCCAGACACCAATCCTGGGATCTGCCCGAGGTGGGGCCGTGACTCCCTGGGGCCAGGAATGGCTGGGGATCCCTGCTGCTGCCAGCTGGGCACGGCCTGGCACGGCCTGGGCACGGGGCAGGGCTCAGCACCCCTGGGCACAGCCCCTGCACACCTGGGCACAGCCCCTGCACCTCAGGGCACAGCCCCAGCACACCTGGGCACAGCCCCAGCACACCTGGGCACAGCCCCAGCACACCTGGAACTGCACATCTGGGCACAGCCCCTGCACCTCAGGGCACAGCCCCAGCACATCTGGGCACAGCCCCTGCACACCTGGGCATGGCCTCAGCACATCTGGGCACGGCCCCTGCACCTCAGGGCACGGCCCCAGCACATCTGGGCACAGCCCCTGCACATCTGGGCACGGCCCCTGCACACCTGGGCACAGCCCCAGCACATCTGGGCACAGCCCCTGCACACCTGGGCATGGCCCCAGCACATCTGGGCACGGCCCCTGCACCTCAGGGCACGGCCCCAGCACATCTGGGCACAGCCCCAGCACACCTGGGCACAGCCCCAGCACATCTGGGCACAGCCCCTGCACACCTGGGCATGGCCTCAGCACATCTGGGCACGGCCCCTGCACCTCAGGGCACGGCCCCAGCACATCTGGGCACAGCCCCTGCACATCTGGGCACGGCCCCTGCACACCTGGGCACAGCCCCAGCACATCTGGGCACAGCCCCTGCACACCTGGGCATGGCCCCAGCACATCTGGGCACGGCCCCTGCACCTCAGGGCACGGCCCCAGCACATCTGGGCACAGCCCCAGCACACCTGGGCACAGCCCCAGCACATCTGGGCACAGCCCCTGCACACCTGGGCATGGCCTCAGCACATCTGGGCACGGCCCCTGCACCTCAGGGCACGGCCCCAGCACATCTGGGCACAGCCCCAGCACACCTGGGCACAGCCCCAGCACACCTGGGCACAGTCCCTGCGCCTCTGGGCACAGCCCCAGCACACCTGGAACTGCACATCTGGGCACAGCCCCTGCACCTCAGGGCACAGCCCCAGCACATCTGGGCACAGCCCCTGCACACCTGGGCATGGCCTCAGCACATCTGGGCACGGCCCCTGCACCTCAGGGCACGGCCCCAGCACATCTGGGCACAGCCCCTGCACATCTGGGCACGGCCCCTGCACACCTGGGCACAGCCCCAGCACATCTGGGCACAGCCCCTGCACACCTGGGCATGGCCTCAGCACATCTGGGCACGGCCCCTGCACCTCAGGGCACGGCCCCTGCCCCTCTGGCCTGCCTGCAGGGCTGTAAGCACTTGGAGGCAGTGAAATGGGAATTTGGGGAGGCCAGGGAGGGGCCCCTGCTCTCCCCCAGCCCCGTGCACGTACAGCCCCCCTCCTGCCCACCCAGCTCACCTGAGCTGCTGTGTGAGCAGGGGGTTACACCCCGATATTTGTCTGAGCATCCCTCACAGCGGGTTTGGGCCCAGCAGCCGAAATGGCAGAGCAAACCTTCCCCCGGTGACAGCCCCCTCCCCAGAGCAGCCCTGCCCGACCAGGATGTGCCCCAGGCAGCGCTCCTGCTCTCCCCCAGCCCCGTGCACGCACAGCCCCCTCCTGCCCACCCAGCTCACCTGAGCTGCTGTGTGAGCAGGGGGTTACACCCCGATATTTGTCTGAGCATCCCTCACAGCGGGTTTGGGCCCAGCAGCCGAAATGGCAGAGCAAACCTTCCCCCGGTGACAGCCCCCTCCCCAGAGCAGCCCTGCCCGACCAGGATGTGCCCCAGGCAGCGCTGGGGATCCCCGAGGGCAGGGCAGGAGCCTTCAGCCCGGCACGGGCGGAGGATGCTGGGCTGGGGGCGCTGCCAGGAGGGGCTCCGAAAGCTTTCCCGGGAGACGGGGGGTTCGCAGGATGGATGCCCTCCCCAGCCCCGCTCCGGGGCGGGTTTGGGCCCAGCAGCCGAGATGGCAGAGCAAACCTTGCCCTGCCCGCCCCGGGCCGGTGGCAGCCCCCTCCCCAGAGCAGCCCTGCCCGTCCAGGATGTGCTCCAGGCAGCGCTGGGGATCCCCGAGGGCAGGGCAGGAGCCTTCAGCCCGGCACGGGCGGAGGATGCTGGGCTGGGGGCGCTGCCAGGAGGGGCTCCGAAAGCTTTCCCGGGAGACGGGGGGTTCGCAGGATGGATGCCCTCCCCAGCCCCGCTCCGGGCTCTGCGCCTTCTCCTCCGGCCGCAGGAGCGGACCCCCGCCCCGCTCCGCAGCAGCAGCGCGGCACCCCGGCAGAAACAGCCAAAATCCCAAAAGCCGGCCGGGAGAGCGGGGCAGGGCAGGGACGGGGCAGCGACAGCAAACACGGCTCTGGAGCCCCTGGAAGGAGCAGGAGCCACGAGGCATTCAGGGGAAAAAACAGCGCGGGGGAAGGGGCGCCCGGGGAGAGGCAAACCCGGGAGAGGAGCGGGAGAGGAGCGACGGCAGCCGAGGCTGCGAGCCGGGCTCGCTCCTGCACAGCCGCGCTTGCACACGCGTGTGCACACCGGGGGGATGCTGTGCACACCCTGGGGGGGATGCTGGGCACACCCGGGGGGATGCTGTGCACACCGGGGAGATGCTGGGCACACCGGGGAGATGCTGGGCACACGCGTGTGCACACCCGGGGGGATGCTGGGCACACCGGGGGGATGCTGGGCACACCCGGGGGGATGCTGGGCACACCCGCGGGAGGGGATGCTGGGCACAGGCGCGCACGCAGCGGCAGAGATTTGTTAAAAATATCGCGATTATTAGTTAAAAAGAGAAAAGGAAGGGGGGGGAAATGAAAAACAGAGCGAGAGAAAAGGGGGAGGGGAGGAGGGAAGGGGGAGGGAAGGGGCATCGCGTCACGGGAGAGATTTCCTTATTGGGACTCCCTAGCCTACATCCTGAGTCCATGTATGGGCATTTACGTCACGGCAGCCTCACTGGGGACTCCAGAAATGGCTGCGGCGGAAGGTCGGAGCAGCCCCGCTCCCGCTATAAAGGGGGCGGCGGGGAGGGAGCTCCGGGTGTCCGCTCGGGCTGCGCCGCCGCCGGGCCCTGCCTGCGCCCCCCGCCCCGGCCCTGCCCCCGCAGCGCCCCCGCCCCGAGCACCCCACAGCATCACCCCCAGGGTCCCCGGCACCTGCCCCGAGCGTCCCCCGCAGCGGTGCGGGCCCCCCGAGCGTGGCCCGGCTCATCCCCGAGCATCCCTCGGATCGCTGCGGGCACCCCGAGCAGTCCCCGCTCGTCCCGGGCTCGCCCCGGGCATCCCCGGGCTCGCCTGGAGCAGCTCTCGCCCGGCCCCCGAGCACCCAGCGGCTCTCCCCGGGCATCCCCCGGCTCATCCCGGGCACCCCCGGCTCGCCCCAGCCCGGCCCCCCTGCTCCGGCCGCGTGCCCAGGGAAGATGCTCAACGTTGTGGATTTCTCCTGCCCGGATCCGCTTTACTCCAAGTACGAGGAGAGCTGCGAGATGAAAAGCGGAGAGCTGCAGGGCTTGGGGCAGCCTGAGCAGCAACTTCTGGCAGAGGCCGATTTCCTCGGAGGTAAGGGCGGGCGGGAGCGGGCAGGGACGAGGGACCCCGCTGGGAGCGGTCGCTGCAGCCAGGAACGGGGATCGTTCCCCCGCTCCGGCCGGGGCTGCAGCATCCCCCAGCTCGGGGCGGGGTGCTGAGGGTCCCGGGGGGGAGGGGGTGAGTGCCAGGGCTGCCTGTGCGGTGTCGGGGACGGAGACCTCGCGGTGACGCAACAGCTCCCGCTGCTCCCCGCATCCCGCCCCCGGCCCCGCGCCCCTCCAGCCTCTCACCGCCGTCTCCTCTGCTTCCCAGGTGAGCTGCTGGGTGTCCCCGGCAGCGGCGGGGCCGTGGATTACTCCCTGCTGGGCAGCCAGCCCTCCCCCTCCCTCAGCTACACCGGCAGCTTCTTCATCAAGGCGGTACCGGAGCACCCGCAGGACCAGGAATCCCTCTTCAACCTGATGTCGGGCATCCTGGGCATCTCCCCCTTCGCCTCCTCCGAGGGCCACCAGAGGCACCTGGACGCTCTGTACCCCTGTCCCGAGGTGGCTCAGGGCCAGCTGGAGCTGTACGCGCCGTGCCAGCCCGAGATGAGCGGGTCCAGCCCGGCGCCGTTCCCGGAGCCGAGCTACGGCGCCTTCCCCGCGGCCGAGGGCGCGCAGCCCCTGCCGGGCAGCACCTCCCAGTGCTTCTTCCAGCCCAAGCTCCTGGACAGCAAGCAGGACGTCAAGCTGTCCTCCGGCTCCCCGCCCCTGGACAAGTTCAAGGCCGCCTGTGCCCAGTGGGAGCCCGTCTCCCAGCAGCAGCAGCAGCAGCAGCAGCAGCATGCCTACCTGCCCGCCGGCTTCCACTCTGCCGAGGGCTTCCCGGGCACCGACGGCGGCCCGGGGCTGTTCCCCCCGCTGGGCTCCAAGATGGAGAGCGCCTTGTCCGTCAGCTGCCAGCCCGAGCTCGGCAGCCTGGCGGAGGAGGCCGCCTGCTTTGGAGCCCATCTGGGCTTCGGCTGCGAGCCAGAGAACTTCCCGGCCCGCGGGGACTTCGCCGACGGCAAGATCCACAGCCTCCCCGGGCCGCTGCTGCCGGACTTCGAGGCCTCCTTGGCCCAGGCCGAGGTGCTGCCGGGCCTGCTGGGCTCTGCCGAGCTGCTCCATCCTCACCCCTCTCCCTCCGTGCCCCCCACGGACTTCCTGGGCCAGGCGGCGGCCTCGGCGCTGCCCGCCCTGCTGCCCCCCGCGCCCCCGGCGCTGCCCGAGCCCAAGAAGAAGGCGCGGCGCAGCAAGTGCTCCTCCAAGTGCTTCTGCCCCAAGCCCCACGAGAAGGCGTTCGCCTGCCCGGTGGAGAGCTGCATCCGCAGCTTCGCCCGCTCCGACGAGCTCAACCGGCACCTGCGCATCCACACGGGCCACAAGCCCTTCCAGTGCCGCATCTGCCTGCGCAACTTCAGCCGCAGCGACCACCTCACCACGCACATCCGCACGCACACGGGCGAGAAGCCCTTCTCCTGCGACACCTGCGGCCGCCGCTTCGCCCGCAGCGACGAGAAGAAGCGCCACAGCAAGGTGCACCTCAAGCAGAAGGCGCGCAGCGAGGAGAAGCTCAAGGGGCTGGGGTTCTTCTCCGTGGGGCTCTCCTTCGGCGCGCTCTGAGCCGCGGCCCGGGCGCTGCCAGGCGGCGTTTCCCGAGTCCCCCGAGCGTCTCAGGGAGAGCCGGGGTGCGGGGCCCTCCCGGTGCCCCGCAGGGCCGTGCCGGGCGCCGGGGCCCGCGGGAGGTGAGGCGATCCCGGCGGGATGGCGAGGGCAGCCCGGCCCGCGGGACTGAGCCATCCGCGGCTGCTGCTCCCAGGAGGGGAGAGCAGAGCCCCCGGACAGACGGACAGACAGACAGAAATCACCACCGCGGTGGGTGCGCTGGAGCGCCCGGCTGTGCTTTCCCCAGCCAGCACTTCCCAGGATGTTCCTGCCTGGAGATTCTCCGGGGCTGCGGCTGCTCCCATCCCTTCTCCAGACCCCACCAGGCTCTGGCCACCGGTGCTAACAGACCCTTGGGAAAGGTGATTTCATTATTATTATTATTATTATTATGTTTGTAAAAAGAAAAGGCCTCTATCAGGAATATTTCAGATTCGTGTCTATTTTTCTAATTAAAGATTTGAGCTGATCCAAGCCCTCGCTGAGGTTGCTCTCTGCCTTTCCATCCTGTATTTCAGTTGGGGTTCTGACCTCTGCTGTTGCATTTTGGGGGGAAAAAAAGGTGCTTCCATAATTAGCAAGGAGAAAAAATCCATAAGTGCAGCTCCAGAGCGTGCCCAAGCCCCAGGTGGGGCTCATCCCAGGGGAGGGCTCCATCCTGGGGCAGGGCAGGGATCCCTGCTCCCTGTGCTGGGTGTCCCCCCAAACACAGGACGTGGTTCTGGGGCTGTCCTGATGGATCTGGGTCCTGCAGGAATCTGCTCCTCTCCCGCGGGGCCCCCAAAGCCCAGCCCAGAGCCCCCATTCCAGATCCTGGCTCCCAGTGGGAGGTGGGTGTCCCACACTTCATTCAGCCTCAGGAAATGGGGTGAGGTTCCCGTTCCCCGGTTCCAGCCTGGCTCAGCCCCAGGGTTGGAGATCCAGGCAGGATGGGGACCCTGCACAAAGGGAGGCTGTCTATCCCTCCCTTTTGGGATTTCAGATGGCGCAGGGATGCTGGTTCCCTCTCCTGGGAGCGGCACAGGAGGCGCTGCTGCAGCCAGGAATGTTCCTCCCTGGAAGAACCGCCCTCCTCCGGTGGCTGAAAATCAGTCACAATCACGAAATCCCAAAATCCCGTCCTTCCAGGGGAGGTGCTGGGATCGGGCACGCCCTCGCTCTCGGTAATCAGGAGGAGGTGCCCGTGGAAGGAGGCAGCGGTGCCAGGGCATTGTCATGGATGCTCGGGTGATTGAGGGGCGATGCTCCTTTGCTGGCAGAGGCAGAAACGGGCACAGCTGCAGTCTGCTCCTTCCTTTTCTGATGGATTTTGCCTCCTCCTGCAGCCCTGGAGGGGGGATCTGCCCCCAGCCAGATTATGCAGGAGAGAGGGGTAACCCTGTGCTAGTCCCTCAGCCCTTTGGCAACATGTGGGCTGCAGCATTCCGGAGCTAGACACCAGTAATCCCAGAAAATCCAGGGTCCCAGGGGTCCCAGAAGAACACAGGGTCCCAATAATCCCAGACAAACCCAGTGTCCCAGGGTCCCAGCAGAATCTGAGCTTCCATGGGCTGTGGGGACCCTGTGGAGTTGGGATGGGAGCTGGTCGGGGCATGGGGGGCTGGTAGCAGAGATGGGATGTGGGAAGGGGCCAGAAGGAAACCTGGCTGAGGGGGAAATCCCAAATTTCCCCTCAGATGTGCCCCTAAAATCTCACAGCCCGAGACCCTCGGGTGAACCCTCCCAGTGCGTGGGCGCCCAGCCCTGAGCCAGAACCACTCCAAGGGGTGCAGGTGACCCCAGGCACACAGGAAAACCTTTTCTGGGGGGCAGCCCAGCTCTCATGGCCAATAAGGGGCCCAGGTTTCCTTGGGGAGGGCTGGGCTGGCCCGTCTCTGGGGATGCCAGCTCCCCGGGGCAGCAGAGCCCAGCTCTCCCTCACCGCTGGCCATGAATGATGCAGGAGGCCCTGATTAATACCCCTCAGGAATGCATCCATAATTGATGTGAGCCTGGAAGTCTGCAGGGCACCGCTCCAGCCTTGGGCCTCTGCTCCTCCAGCCAGCGCTGCCAGGGACGTGGGAGGGATGGGGACCCCCAGAGCTGCCCCAGAGCTGCCCCAGAGCCACCCAGAGCCACCCCTCTGCCCCCGTGTCAGCAGCACCCTGGGCCTGGCGCTGCCATCCCCCCTGTGCCCACCCCGTGCCCAGAGAGAGAACACTGCAGTGCCAGATGCCTTTGGCACGGGCACCAGGAGCTGGATCGGGATCAAGCCAGGCTTAAAGCTCAGGGACCATGTGGGGATGGAGCCAGGGCCCAGCAGTGGATGCTCAGGGACTCAGGACCAAGGCAGGGATTAAGCAGGGCAGCCTTGGACCGGAGCAGGACCAGGCTGGGAACCAGCCCAGGCTGATCCCAGCGTGACTGGTCTGGGACCAGAGCAGGGGCTTGGGGACAGCCTGGGGACCACACCGGGGCAGGACCAGGCTGGGAACCACGCCAGGTACTCGGGACTGGACCAGGACCAAGGCAGGGACAAAGCCAGGATGAACAGGGACCAGTTCAGAACCCAGCCAGGGACCAAGCCAGGGTGTCAGGGACTGGACCAGGACCAAGGCAGGGACAAAGCCAGGATGAACAGGGACCAGCTCAGGCCCCAGCCAGGGACAAAGCCAGGGTGCTCAGGGACAATCAGGACCAAGACAGAATACTCGGGACTCAATCAGGATCAAGGCAGGGATGAGGACAGGATGATCAGGGACTGTCCTGGGGCCAAGCCCGTGTCCTGGCACCTGTGTCCAGCCCGGCTCGGGGCAGGAGCAGCCCAGGCTGGTCCCACACCCGGCCCTGCATCCCGGGCAGGATGCTCGGGGGGATCCCGGCCAGGAGCTGCCGGGGGCGGTGGGACAGGGGGCCGGGGGCTGCCGTGGCCGCCGTGTTGGTGGGCACACAGGCAGAGGGAGCTGTGCGGGAGGGCCCGACTCCGGCTGCAGGGGAGGAGGCGGCTGCCGGCGCTCGCCGTCCGCCTCCCTCCATCGCTGCATCCTCCCTCGCCCGCCGTGCCCAGCCCGCGGAGCCCCAGCGGCCCGGGGAGCGCCATCCCCAGCGTGCCCAGAGCCCTCCCAGCACCCCGCCGGGGCCTTCAGCCTCGCCTTCCTCCCTCCTCCTCCTCCGCCGCCGCCTCCTCCTCCTCCTCCTCCTCCTCCTTCCCCAGGGCCTGCCTGGCATGGAGGTGCTGGCCGCGGGGAGCCGGGCGCTTCCCGCGGGCTGCATCCCCGCTGCCCCGCGTCCCCGTGCCCGCATCCCCGGTGCCCCGCATCCCCCCGCCCCGGCACAGCCCTGAGCGCCCGGCAGCCGCTCCTTTGTGCGGCTGTGGAGCCGTGCGGGCTCCGCGCCCCCAGCCCCGCTCGGGGGCGGCCCGCGGGCCAGCGGGAGGGATGCTGCCCTCGCCGGAGGAGCCCAGCGCGGCAGGTCGGCGGCCAGAAGCAGGTATGGGGCGGCAGGGGGTGGGATGGAGCGGCGCCGGTGCCCTGGGGGGCGGTGGTTTGTCCCCAGGATGCTCCTCACCCGGGGCCCCCGGGAGCAGGGGGACGCAGCGGGGACAAAGCCGCTGCCAGGATGCGAGGACGGACCGCCGCTCCCTGCTCCAGGGGCTGGCGGGGGGGGCAAAAAAAGCATCTGGATTTTCATGCCCACCTCCCCCGAGCCCCCTGTGCCTCAGCCCCAGCCGTCGTCGCCCACCACGGTGCTCCCACCCCGCTGGAGCGCCGGGAAGGATGGGGACCAGCGGCGCGGGCAGCACCCCCATCACCGCCCATCCATCCCGGCATCACCCTGCATCCATCCCGGTATCACCCTGCATCCATCCCGGCATCACCCTGCATCCATCCCGGCATCACCCTGCATCCATCCCGGCATCACCGCCCATCCAGCCCGGCATCACCCCTCATTCATTCCAGCATCACCCTCCATCGCCCTCCAGCCCAGCATCACCCACTCTCCATCCCGGCATCACCCACCCTCCATCCCGGCATCGCCCTGCATCCATCCCGGCATCATCTTCCATCCTCCACTCCATCATCACCCTCCATCACCCCCATGCAGCCCGGCATCGCCCGCAGCAGCCCCCCAGCTCTCCTCCCCTCCCCAGGCAGCTCCCCGCCTGCCGCTGGTGTTTCCTGGGCTTGGTGGGTGGGCAGCAGAGCCCCGAACAATGCCGGGCAAGGCTCGGTGCGGGAGCAGCCCGGCCGCGCTGCAGCCCCGGCGCTCCCGGCTCCGGCTGCCTCTGGGCTTTACCAGCCTGCTAACGACTCCCCCAACGATCCCCCCAAACCCCGGTGGTTGCCGTGGAGATGGGAGCGAGCAGAGGTTTGCGGCCGGGCTAGGACCTGCCCAGGACAGGGAGCTTCCCGATCCACCCGGGCCGATCCTGCCTCGGATTTCGGCCGGGCAATTCGGCCTGGGGCTGCTCGGGAGCCCCGGGAGACGCGGGCAGGCATCCAGGCCCGAGGCAGCACGGCACGATTCCCCATCCCCGCGCTGGAAAAGCGCTTTCTCATCGCCGGCGGCGGCCGGAGCTGCCGGCCGTGCTTTGTGCCCGCCGCGGCGCGGGTTCCGGCCGGGCCGGGCCGGTGCTGGCCCGGGTGGGGCTGCTGTGGGAGGGAGTGCTCGGCAACCACCCCAACGCGCGGCCAGGCGGGTCACAAACCCTCCCGGCTCTTCCTGGTTTTATTTCTGGCGCCGATTTCTCGCCTTTGTTGGTTTTTCTCTTAAAAAATGGTTTGCCAGCCTCGTGGCCTGGTTGTCCCTCTGAGGGGATGCTGAGCCACCAGGGATGCCGCCCTGGCACCAGCAGGGGTGGATGGAGGCTCCGGGCAGCTCAGGGCTCACCAGCTGGTGGTTATGGAATGCTGGGGGGCTCTGGGGGCTTTTAGGGTGGTGGGAAGAGCCCTTTGTGGGATGTTGCAGGGGGATGAGCAGGGGATGCTCCCAGCCAGGGGTGCCCTCGCTGTTCTGGGGTAAAAGCATTGCTGTTTTCATCTTTGAATGACAAATGCATGGAAAATGAAAGTACTGTGGCCTGAGGTGTGTTGGTGCCCCCCAGCCTGGAGGGGACCTCAGCAGCCTCCCGGGCTGGATTGTCACTGGCTTGTCCCATTTCACGGGGGTGAGGTTCCCCCAGTGATGTTGTGGAGGATTTTGTGGGTGGGGAGTGAGCCAGGTCCCACAGGGACCCTCACCCACCCAGGCAGGAGCGGCCACCGTGTCCCCTGCACCGGGCAGCCCAGGGATGGGTGGGAACTCTTGGGGATGGATCCATTCCAGCCTTCACGGGCTGATCCAGCAGGAGTGGGGCGGCCTTCTCTTGGAGAAGGGGGACCCCAGAACCCGCTCCTGGGATGGTCCTGGCCCCTGGGGTCCCCTGATGCTGTAGGGGTTCGTTGGGCAAGAGGGCAAAAGGGTCTCCCCTGCCACCTCCTGTGACAGCTCAGGGTGCCTGGAGAGAATTCCATGGGCTGTGCACCTGCCTGGTGGCTGTGTCCCCCAGGTGGCTGTGAACCTTCCCAAGGCGTGGGAGGCCTTCCCAGCAATTACGGATCTTCCCAAGGGTTTGTAGAACCACGGGATCGTTCAGGTTGGAAAAGCCCTCTAAGACCATCAAGTCCAGGAACTTCCCAAAGCTTGTGGAGCTTCTCAAAAGCTGTGGAGCTTCCCAAAAGCTGTTGGTCTTCACAAGGGTTGTGGAACTTCCCAGAGGCTCGAGAGCTTCCCAGGGCTCTGCACATTCCCAGGGTTCTGGACATTTCCAGGGCTCTGCACCTTCCCAGGGCTCTGGACATTCCCAGGGTTCTGCACATTCCCAGGGCTCTGCACCTTCCTAGGGCTCTGCACCTTCCCAGGGCTCTGGACATTCCCAGGGTTCTGCACATTCCCAGGGCTCTGGACATTCCCAGGGTTCTGGACATTCCCAGAGCTCTGCACATTCCCAGGGTTCTGCGCCTTCCAAGGGTTCTGCACCTTCCAAGGGTTCTGGACATTCCCAGAGTTCTGCACATTCCCAGAGTTCTGCACATTCCCAGGGTTCTGCACATTCCCAGGGCTCTGGACATTGTCAGGGTTCTGCACCTTCCCAGGGTTCTGCACCTTCCAAGGGTTCTGGATATTCCCAGGGCTCTGCACCTTCCCAGGGCTCTGCACATTCCCAGGGTTCTGGACATTCTCAGGGTTCTGCACATTCCCAGGGCTCTGCACCTTCCCAGGGCTCTGCACCTTCCCAGGGTTCTGGACATTCCCAGGGCTCTGCACATTCCCAGGGCTCTGCACATTCCCAGGGCTCTGCACATTCCCAGGGCTCTGCACATTCCCAGGGCTCTGCACATTCCCAGGGCTCTGCACATTCCCAGGGTTCTGCACATTCCCAAGGGCTCTGCACATTCCCAGGGCTCTGCACCTTCCCAGGGCTCTGCAGCCTCTTTAGCACCGTGTGCCCTCCCCAGGGATGCACGTGGGCAGGAGGAACACGGGAGGGTGGGATGGAGGCACAGAGGGCACCAGAAGAAGGACCAAGGAGGGATTTCTGGGGACCCCCCACCCCGGTGTCACCGACCCCCATCTCTTCCAGCGCCCGGCTCCGCTCGATGCTGACACGCCCCCAGGACTGCCGGATCCCCCCCTCTGCACGCGGGGCCGTCCCCACGCCATGTCCCAGCGGTGCCACCGCCCCTGTGCCGGGGGGTCCCCGGCCGCCCCCGCGGGTCCCCGCGGCCCCGGCGCCGCGCCATGAGCGGGGCCCCGGCGGGGAGCAGAGCTGAGGGATGGCCTCGCTGGACCTGCCCTACCGCTGCCCGCGCTGCGGCGAGCACAAGCGCTTCCGCAGCCTGTCCTCGCTGCGCGCTCACCTGGAGTACAACCACACCTATGAGACCCTCTACGTGCTCTCCAAGACCAACAGCATCTGCGACGCCGCCGTCTTCCCGCTGGCCGCCGACGGGGCCCTGCTGGCCCCGGCCGCGCGCAGGGACTACTTCGAGAGCACCTCCTTCCAGGGCAAGGACCAGCGCTTCTCCTGCGACCTGGTCCCCGCCGACGAGCTGGAGCCGGCGCCGGCCGCGTCGCCCTCGCCGCGCTATGTGCACGAGATCGAGATCCCGCTGAGCGAGATCTTCACGCGGGGCAAGGCCGTGGCGCCCGCGCCCGTCCCGCCCGCCGCCATGGACTCGGCCTACGAGGAGGGCCTGGCCCGCCTGAAGATCCGCGCCTTCGAGAAGCTGGAGGTGGACAAGAGGCTGGAGAAGCTGACGGAGGAGGTGGAGCAGAAGATCGCCTCGCAGGTGGGCCGGCTGCAGGTGGAGCTGGACCGCAAGAGCTCGGAGCTGGAGAAGGCCAAGCAGGAGAGCCTGCGGCTGAGCCGCGAGAAGCAGGAGCTGGAGGACCGCGCCTCGGAGCTGTCCCGCCAGGTGGACGTCAGCGTGGAGATGCTGGCGTCCCTCAAGCAGGACCTGGTGCAGAAGGAGCAGGAGCTCACCCGCAAGCAGCAGTGAGTGCTTTGTGCCTGCCCCGGGCGTGGGGCGGGAGGGAAGGGTGCCTGGCAGTGAGTCCTGCAGAACCCGTGGCTGCCCCAGCCCTGGAGGGGTTCACGGCCAGGCTGGACAGGGTTTGGAGTGGTGGGGAACAGTGGAAGGTGACCCTGCCCATGGTAGGGGCTGGAATGAGATGAGCTTTGGGGTCTCTTCCCACCCAAACAATTCCCTAAGTGCAGAGGAACCCAGCAGCACCACCAAGCCCTCGGGCCAGGGCTCAGGCATAGCCCCTTGGCGGTGCCCACCAGCATCCTCCCTTATCAGGTTCTGCGTCTTCTCCCACACGCTCAGTGTCAGCCCTGGCCCCTCCATGGCTGGGTCATGGCGAGCCAGACCTTGTCCAGGGCCACCAGCACTCCCAGGACATGGCCAGGCTGGCATCACCGAGCCACAGACCGGTTTGGGTTGAAGGAACCTCAAATCCCACCTCATGCCCACCCCCTGCCACGGCCGTGCCAAATTCCAGGTTTTTCTGCCAGAGGGAGGGTGGGGCAGCCCGAGCAGTGCCGCCTCCATTTGCTGTGAAGCCTGTGGCACTGCCATCCTCATTTCCACCCCGTGTTCCCCACTCAGCCCCCTGTCCACCCCAGGCTGCTCCTGAGTTTCCCTCTGGGTCATTCTGCCCCTTGGTGCTGCCCAAGCAAACCAGACCTCGCTCCCCAGGAGCTGCAGCAGACCTGGAGGGGCCCAGGTCAGTGAGGGCTTTGTAGGGCCTGGCCCGCCTGAAGATCCGCGCCTTCGAGAAGCTGGAGGTGGACAAGAGGCTGGAGAAGCTGACGGAGGAGGTGGAGCAGAAGATCGCCTCGCAGGTGGGCCGGCTGCAGGTGGAGCTGGACCGCAAGAGCTCGGAGCTGGAGAAGGCCAAGCAGGAGAGCCTGCGGCTGAGCCGCGAGAAGCAGGAGCTGGAGGACCGCGCCTCGGAGCTGTCCCGCCAGGTGGACGTCAGCGTGGAGATGCTGGCGTCCCTCAAGCAGGACCTGGTGCAGAAGGAGCAGGAGCTCACCCGCAAGCAGCAGTGAGTGCTTTGTGCCTGCCCCGGGCGTGGGGCGGGAGGGAAGGGTGCCTGGCAGTGAGTCCTGCAGAACCCGTGGCTGCCCCAGCCCTGGAGGGGTTCAAGGCCAGGCTGGACGGGGTTTGGAGCGGTGGGGAACAGTGGAAGGTGACCCTGCTCATGGTAGGGGCTGGAATGAGATGAGCTTTGGGGTCTCTTCCCACCCAAACAATTCCCTAAGTGCAGAGGAACCCAGCAGCACCACCAAGCCCTCGGGCCAGGGCTCAGGCATAGCCCCTTGGCGGTGCCCACCAGCATCCTCCCTTATCAGGTTCTGCGTCTTCTCCCACACGCTCAGTGTCAGCCCTGGCCCCTCCATGGCTGGGTCATGGGGAGCCAGACCTTGTCCAGGGCCACCAGCACTCCCAGGACATGGCCAGGCTGGCATCACCGAGCCACAGACCGGTTTGGGTTGAAGGAACCTCAAATCCCACCTCATGCCCACCCCCTGCCACGGCCGTGCCAAATTCCAGGTTTTTCTGCCAGAGGGAGGGTGGGGCAGCCCGAGCAGTGCCGCCTCCATTTGCTGTGAAGCCTGTGGCACTGCCATCCTCATTTCCACCCCGTGTTCCCCACTCAGCCCCCTGTCCACCCCAGGCTGCTCCTGAGTTTCCCTCTGGGTCATTCTGCCCCTTGGTGCTGCCCAAGCAAACCAGACCTCGCTCCCCAGGAGCTGCAGCAGACCTGGAGGGGCCCAGGTCAGTGAGGGCTTTGTGGGGACAGGCATGGCTGGGCTGGGCTGGGAGCACTGCCGGGATTCCTGAAGGAATTGTCCTGATTCCCATCATCCTCTGCACACTTGTGAACGACTTTGATTCCAAAATAATGACCTGGCTCAGGAACAGAGCTCCCGGGATGGGGGATGCCTGGGTGGGGAGCGGGGTGACCTGGGGCTGCATAAGGACACCTCAGGTTTGGGGCACATTTTGGGACAGGAGTGAGGGGTTTGGGGGCTGCCTCGTGGGTGCTGTCCAGGGGCGCCTTGGGGATGTGTGGTAAGGGAATTAAGGACACCAGCGTGGATGAGCATGGAGCAGGGCCTGGAGACAGCCAGACAGGGTAAACAGAGGGTCAAATGTCTCTTGGTGGAACCTGGACAATGTCAGCACCGAAAACCCTGGGTTTATGCCCCAAAACTACCTCCTGGGCCTCCCATTCCTCAGAGCAACCCTCCTGCCCCTCAACTGCCCCCAGCAGTCCCCGAGCTCCCCCACCCCAAGGGGCAAAATCCCCTGTGAGGCTGCAGGGGAGCACGGGGAGCGCTGCTGGTGGGAGGAGGTTTTCTCCTGCACGTGAGGAAGTCATCAGAAATCATTTTAATCAGCAAAGCTTCCCTGAAAACACTGTGGGGACATTTCCCAGCGCTGCCAGCTCCCAGACACCACGAAGCCGCTGTCCTCCTGGGAGACCTTTGGCTCTGGGCTCCGTTTCCTCTGCCAGGAGTGTTTTTCCACCCAGTCCATGGGAATGAGAGAGGCACGGGTGATAACCATCAGCATCACCTTACAGCTGCTGCCCAGCTCCACATTTGCCTTCCAAATCCCCTGGGGCCCCTTCCAGGATCCTTCCCAGAGCACCCCCAGAGCTCCCAGGCTCTGCCTGCCAGCGGCAGGTTGGGGAGAAATTAACTGATAATTAATTGGTGATTAATTGGTAATTGATAGGCAGCAGTGGGAATTGTGTCAGTAAGAGCTGCCCCTCCCCTCCCTGCGTGCTCCTGAGCAGCTCATGGTGTCCGGGTGTCCCAGGCCAGGTGCAGGGTCAGCTTTGGTGTCCAGCAGTGCCGGCAGGGCTCTGGGGTCAGCGCTGTGTGATCAGGTGTCCTGGCCAGGTGGGCGTGCTTGGGTGGCTGTGTGTGCCCAGACAGGCGTGCAAAGCTGGGTTTGTGCCTCTTCAGCACTCCTGGATGCTGAGGGGAGGTGTGAGCAGCTCTGGGTGTGTGTGTGCACCACCAGCAGAGCAGTGTGAGCAGAGCAGTGTGAGCAGCCCTGGGTGTGTGTTCACATGGCTGCTCATGGGGCTGTGGGTCTGGAAGGGACCTCAAAGCCCACCCAGTGCCACCCTGCCATGGCAGGGACACCTCCCACTGTCCCAGGCTGCTCCAGCCCCAGTGTCCAGCCTGGCCTTGGGCACTGCCAGGGATCCAGGGGCAGCCACAGCTGCTCTGGGCACCTGTGCCAGGGCTTTGCACCCTCCCCATGCTGCCTGGCTGTGTGTGCCCTGCTGAGTGCTGTGTTTGTGCTCTCCTGGGGTTGTGTGTGTGCCTGCCCACGTGTGTGTGTGTGTCTGCGTGTGCTGTGCTGTGTGTGCCCTGCTGAGTGCTGTGTTTGTGCTCTCCTGGGGCTGTGTGGGGCACTCAGGTGTGCAGGACAGGGCTCTGTGTGTGTCTGTCCATGTGCGTGTGCCATGCTGTGTCTGTGTGTCTGTGTGTGTCTGTCCATGTGTGTGTGCCATGCTGTGTCTGTGTGTCTGTGTGTGCCATGCTGTGTGTCTGTCCATGTGTGCCATGCTGTGTGTGTGCCATGCTGTGTCTGTGTGTATCTGTCCATGTGTGTGCCATGCTGTGTGTCTGTGTGTCTGTGTGTGTCTGTCCGTGTGTGTGTGCCATGCTGTGTCTGTGTCTGTGTGTGCCATGCTGTGTGTCTGAGCTGTTCCTGGAGCACATCCACGTGCCGGGCTGTGCTGGCCGGCTGTGTTTGTGCCGTGTGGCCTCCCGGCTGTGCCCGTGTCCCCGTGTGCTTCCCCGGTTTCTGGGTGAGCACAGCGGGTGTTTGTGCCGGGCTGGGGTCAGCTCGGGTCACGGAGCTGCTGTCACACATTCTGGGGAACAGCCCTGCCGCAGCCTCGGAGCTCCCGAGCACCTGCTAATTAGGGTGTTAATGAGGGAGCGGGGCCGGCAAGGGCTGAGCAGGGACTGGGGCTGAGCAGGGCTAAAGGGTGTCACTGCCATCTCCTCCCTCCCCCTGTCACACCATCATCCTCCTCTTCCTCTGCTCCATCGTGCTCAGGAGCCTGATTCCAGTCCTGGGGTGATGGACGAGGTGCTGGGGGTGTTCCTCACCCCCGAGACAAGGCGGTAACACCCCCTGCCCGCTGGGAGCGTCCCCCCATCGCTGCCCTGCCCCATCCCTGCCCTGCCAGCCCAGCCCGGCGGGCACAGACCCGCGCCAGGCTGGGGACAGAACCAGCCAGGCGTGCTGGGCACGGGCTGGGGGCGCCGAGCGGGGCCGGGCGGGCAGCCCGGGTGTCACCGCGGTCCCCGTGCCAGGGAGGTGCTGCAGATAGACCAGTTCCTGAAGGAGACGGCGGCGCGGGAGGCCAACGCCAAGGTGCGGCTGCAGCACTTCATCGAGGAGCTGCTGGACCGCGCCGACCGCGCCGAGAAGCAGCTGCAGATCATCAGCAGCAGCTGCGGCACCACCCCGAACGGCAGCCTGGGCCGCTGCGGCACCCCGGGCAGCAAGGGCATCGCCCGGGCGGCACCTCTGCGGGCACAGGCACGGCTCGGCTCGGCACGGCGCGGAGCGGGGCTGGGGGCTCGGGAGCGGGGCTGGGGGATCCGGGAATTTATCTCTGCTTCGGGAATGAGCCCGGGGCTTCGGGAGTGGCGCTGGGGCGTCGGGAAAGCACCCGGGGATTCGGGAATTCGCCCTCTGCTTCGGGAATACACGCAGGGCTTGGGGAACGCGCCAGGGGCTTTGGGAATTCACCCTCTGCTTCGGGAACGCGCCCGGGGGTTCGGGAATTCATCCTCTGCTTTGGGAGTGTGCCCGGGGCTTTGGGAATTCACCCTCTGCTTCGGGAATTGGCCCTCTGCTTCCATAACACAACCCTGGCCTCAGCAGCGCGCCCCGGGCTCTCCTGTGCCAGGGCCGAGCGGGGCGGGGACCCCCGTCCTCCCGGTGGGGAAGGGATAATCCTGGGGTCCCCATGGGAATGGATAACCCCGGGGGTCCCCGTGGGAATGGGTAACCCCGGGGGTCCCCGTGGGAACGGATAACCCCGGGGGTCCCCGCGGGAACGGATAACCCCGGGGGTGCCAGGAGCAGCCGTTCCTCCGCGGTCGGTGCTCCCGGGGCGGTGCTGCAGGCGCGGCTCCGCATCCCTCGGGGTGAGGGGTCCCCCGAGGGCAGCCGGCAGCGCTGGGTTTGGGGGGTGCCCTGGCCCCCCATCCCTGCCCTGCCCCATCCCTGCCCTGCCCAGCCCGGCGGGCACAGACCCGCGCCAGGCTGGGGACAGAACCAGCCAGGCGTGCTGGGCACGGGCTGGGGGCGCCGAGCGGGGCCGGGCGGGCAGCCCGGGTGTCACCGCGGTCCCCGTGCCAGGGAGGTGCTGCAGATAGACCAGTTCCTGAAGGAGACGGCGGCGCGGGAGGCCAACGCCAAGGTGCGGCTGCAGCACTTCATCGAGGAGCTGCTGGACCGCGCCGACCGCGCCGAGAAGCAGCTGCAGATCATCAGCAGCAGCTGCGGCACCACCCCGAACGGCAGCCTGGGCCGCTGCGGCACCCCGGGCAGCAAGGGCATCGCCCGGGCGGCACCTCTGCGGGCACAGGCACGGCTCGGCTCGGCACGGCGCGGAGCGGGGCTGGGGGCTCGGGAGCGGGGCTGGGGGATCCGGGAATTTATCTCTGCTTCGGGAATGAGCCCGGGGCTTCGGGAGTGGCGCTGGGGCGTCGGGAAAGCACCCGGGGATTCGGGAATTCGCCCTCTGCTTCGGGAATACACGCAGGGCTTGGGGAACGCGCCAGGGGCTTTGGGAATTCACCCTCTGCTTCGGGAACGCGCCCGGGGATTCGGGAATTCATCCTCTGCTTTGGGAGTGTGCCCGGGGCTTTGGGAATTCACCCTCTGCTTCGGGAATTGGCCCTCTGCTTCCATAACACAACCCTGGCCTCAGCAGCGCGCCCCGGGCTCTCCTGTGCCAGGGCCGAGCGGGGCGGGGACCCCCGTCCTCCCGGTGGGGAAGGGATAATCCTGGGGTCCCCATGGGAATGGATAACCCCGGGGGTCCCCGTGGGAATGGGTAACCCCGGGGGTCCCCGTGGGAACGGATAACCCCGGGGGTCCCCGCGGGAACGGATAACCCCGGGGGTGCCAGGAGCAGCCGTTCCTCCGCGGTCGGTGCTCCCGGGGCGGTGCTGCAGGCGCGGCTCCGCATCCCTCGGGGTGAGGGGTCCCCCGAGGGCAGCCGGCAGCGCTGGGTTTGGGGGGTGCCCTGGCTGGGCTGGCCGCGCTGGTTGTGCCACCGTGGCCCTGCTGTGCCCTGTCCCGCAGAGGGAGCGGCAGCCGGGCCCGGCGGCGGGGCACGGTCCCTACGGCGCGTCCCAGCAGCGCTCCTGCTCCAGCACCGGGTGAGTGCCGGGCCGGGCCGGGCCGGGCCGGGGCACGGGGGCGGCCCCGCCAGCCCTGACCGCCGCATGCCCGTCCGCAGGGCCTCGAGCCGGGCCAAGGCCGTGTCGCAGAGCTCGGGCTGCTACGACAGCGACAGCGCGGAGCCGTGTCCCGCGGAGCAGGCGGGCGAGGGGCCCCCGTACGCGGCGCGGGGCTCGGGGCTGCGCCGCCAGGCCATCCACAACTGGCACCGCCGGCCCTACCGCAACAGCACCGAGGGCGAGGAGGGCGACGTGTCCGACGTGGGCTCCCGCACCACCGAGTCGGAGGCCGAGGGCTGGGAGCCCGAGGCGCCGGGGTGCGCCGCGCCCCGGGCGCCCGGCAGCTGCCGCCTGACCGGTGAGAGCGCAGCGCGACCCCCGGGCTGGGCCGGAGGTGAATGCTGGAGGACAGGAGCTCAGCCCGGCACAGGTTTCCACGTGGTTTTTTGATCATGCCCATGATTTTGTGGTCACACCCATGAATTTGGGGTCACGCCCATGAATTTGTGGTCACACCCATGAATTTGGGGTCACGCCCATGATTTTGTGGTCAGAGGAGCTCAGCCCGGCACAGGTTTCCAAGTGCTTTTGGGGTCACGCCCATGATTTTGTGGTCGCACCCATGAATTCCTGGTCACACCCATGAATTGGTGGCACATGCTCTGCCGCTGCTGCTCCCTGAGCCCCACCATCCCTCTCCACGACAAACTCCAAATCCTCTGCGGGGTTTGGGTGTCCTGGAGCCAGGGTGGGCCTGTCCCCATCCTGGGCTGGTGGCAGGGGGCTGCTGTGCCTGATGCTGCCTCCCTGCTGGCAGGGGCTGCCTGGAGGCAGGGCTGGAGTCGCTGCTGAAGGCGACGGGCAGCAACCTGCTGATCCTGCGCATCTCGCACTGCCCCAACGTGCTGACGGACCGCTCGCTCTGGCTGGCCAGCTGCTACTGCCGCGCCCTGCAGGCCGTCACCTACCGGTGAGCACAGCCACGGCACGGGGCTGGGCACAGCCAGGGCTGCGCTGAGATTGCTGCCTGGGGGCGTGTGTGTACAAATCAGGAACGGGCGGGACTGCTGGAACGTGTCCTGAGCTGTTGTGTTGTCCAGCATCAGCCTCATCCCATGGCTATGACAATGGGAAGGTGCCAGCAGCTCACAGCCCAGGCAGCAGACCCAGAACTTCATGTTACAACTTACTTTTGAAGTTTTTTGACCACAACCTCCCAAAAAACTCACTTCCTTCTTAACCTACGACATGCACGGAGCAAAAGCACATTGACAGTAGTTCCATCCAACCACTCTAAGCACACCAAGTACCTTTGGTGAAACAGTGCTTGCTTGTTTCTATCCAATACCTGTTTGTGGGCCTTCAAACACAAGGCACAGAGCTCCGTTATTAAGCTTAGAACTTCCTAATATCTCACTAAATATACTTTTCTGCAGATTAGGGAGTTATTCTAGACAAGCATTAATACACAGATCATTGTTCCATTTGTCCTTACTTTTCTGCTGCTTACATAATTTTTCTGCTGATTTATTTTATGGCCACTGCTCAGCTCTGATCACAGTTTGCTGTCTCTGAGGCCTGCCTTTCTCAGCTTCCCCAAAACCCTCTGATTTCATGGATTGCCACAGAGATCACCCCCGTTCCCTGGCAGAGCACAGCCCTCTGCCCGGGGACAAAGGCCCTGCCTGCCCAGGGGCAGCCCCAGTGTCCCCAGTGCCAGCTGTCCCTGCAGCTCCCCTCCCTTCCAGGCTGCTCCATGCAGGTGTTTCACCTCCAGCTCCATTCCCACCATCCCATCACCCATCTCATCCCGGCTGGATGGGCCGGGGGCTCGGCAAGGAGGGTGCCAGAGAAGGGTGAGGAGGGGGTGCCCAGGGAGGTCCCAGCTGGCTGTCACCCCTGATGAAGGGTCCCAGCGGAGAGAAGAGGCTCAGGGTCCCTGATTCAGCTTGGACACCTTGCCTGAGGTCCAGGGCACAAGCCTCGATGATCCTGGAGGAGGTCACAGGTCCCGGGGGCCATCACTGGCCACTCCACCTGTGCAGACAGCACTGGCCTCCCCTCCACCCTCCAGGAGGCTGATCCTGGCTCTGCTGCACCTGCAGACAGCCAGCCCAGCCCTGGTGTCTGTTCCAGCTGCTCCTCGTGCAGCCAGGACAGAGAATCCTCCTGGGGCAAAGCACATCCAGGCCCTCCCCTGGCGTGACCCCAGAGCTGGCTCTGCCCACACCTCGAGACTGGAGAGAGCCCAGAGCTGCCAGGCTGGAGTCCCAGGCTGCTCCCTTGGCTGTTCCCAGGGCAGCAGAGCCAGCCTGGGTGCTCCTGGCACATCCTGAGCTGTGCCTGCCTCCCGCTCTGATGAGCCTGCTGCTCTTGGCACCCTGCTCCAGCAGTTGTGTGAGGCACCCCAGATAACACCCAGCCTTATTTTTAGGCTAGCCTGAAGTTCTGAAGTGGGGCATTTAGGCTTGGGAAGCACTGCCTGGGTCCCTGGAAGGCTCCTGGTGTGGTGGCACAGCCTGGGGACTGTTCGGGCTGGTGGCAGCAGGGTGCTGCTCTCTGGCTCCTCTCCCAGAGCTGGGCTCCAGCCCAGCTCAGGACAAACCCACACCTGCCCCAGCCCCTGCCCAGGCCCCAGGGGCTCTCCTGGTACCTCCAGGGACACCGAGGAGGAGCCACAGCAAGCCCTGCAGGGACATTGGGCCAAGAGCCACCTCCAGCACAGTGGCACAGAGCAGGGACAGAGGCCACGGAGCAGCCCCTGCCCCTGGCTGGGGTGTCCTTCCAGCCCTGGCACTGTCCCCATCCGGCCAAGGGACACCAGCACAGTGTGACCTGCGGGGACAGGGACGGCTTCTGTCCCCTGCAGGGACACACGGCCTGGCAGGCTCGGCCAGTCCCTTGCACCTTGGCATGTGGAAGGTGCACCTGCAGCCCCCTCCACGTTCAGCCTCCCCTTCCTCCCTCCTGCCCCTCCTGCCCCAGCCCCACGTCCTGCCCCTGCCCGTTCCCGCTGGGAATGCCCCCAGCCCTCCTGCCAGGGTGGGGCAGGGCTGGCTGCAGCTCCCGGGCAGTAACTCATGCCCAGCCTGGTGCCTGTGGGTGCTGCAGGCACTCTGGGGCTGCAGAGGCAGCCCGGGCGGCACTGCTGCTGCCGGGGCCATCGCGTGTCCCCTGTGCTGTTGCAGGAGCTCCACGGACCCCGTGGGCCACGAGGTGATCTGGGCCCTTGGAGCAGGCTGCAGGGACATCATCTCGCTGCAGGTCGCCCCTCTGCATCCCTGGTAAGGCCTGCAGCCACGGGTGGGCTGGCTGGGAGGGACCCCACAGCCCACCCCGGGCCACCCCGCATGGCAGGGACACTGCCCCTGTCCCTGGGGCTGCCAGCCTGGCCTGGGCACTGCCAGGGTGGAACTGGGTTGGGAGGAGGCCGCGCTGGGTGTGAAGGGGTTTGGGTGCCAGAGCCTGCCTGCCTGGGGGTCTCCGTGGGATGGGCAGCAGTCCTGGAGCCCAGCCCGAGGGAGGGAGCTCAGCCCACCCCTCCCCGTGCAGACCGGGGGCTGCTGGGCTCTGCAGCTCCCCGAGAGCTCCGGGGCCACTGCTCACTGGGGTGAGAGGACCTGCTGGCTCTGGGGTGCCACTGAACGCCACAGGCCTGGCTGAGCTCCCCCTGCTCGGCTGCAGCCGGAGCAGGATGTTGTTGGCTGTTCCTGAGGGGTGTCACAGCTTGGGGGGCCACAGCCGCTGCTCTCATTTTGGGAAAGCTTTTTGGGGAGCTGCTGGTGAGGTCTCATCTCCACCCCACCGTGCCTGGGCGCTCAGGAGCTGATGGCTCACGCAGCAGGACACAGCTCTGTGCCTCAGGACAGTCCTGGGCACTGCTCATGGCCGTGCCACCCCCAGGGGATGCCACCCCCGGTGTCACAGCCCGGTGGCTCCTGGTGCCCTGGGGGAGCAGCACTTGGCACCTGAGCAGAGCCCCAGGCCCTGCTGCTGCTGGGATCCCTGCAAGCACCAGAGCTCAGGGCCCGGTTTGGGTCTCCAGGGTGGAGTCACAGAATCCTGGAGTGCTTCGGGTTGGAAGAAACCTTAAACCCTGTGCAGTGCCACCCTGCCATGGCAGGGACACCTTCCCCCATCCCAGGCTGCTCCGGGTCCCCCCAGCCTGGCCTGGGCACTGTCGGGGATGCAGGGCAGCCCCAGCTGCTCCGGGCAGGGTTTGGGGCGCAGGGCACCCAGAGCTGCCCCGTGCCAGCGCAGCACAGCCGGGCTGGTGCCAGGCTGGCACCCCAGGGTGGCCCCAGCCCGGGGGGGTGGCAGAGCCCGCCGGGGGGGCTGGCGGCCGTGCCACCCCAGCTGCTGTCCCTCGTGTCCCCAGCCAGCAGCCGACGCGCTTCAGCAACCGCTGCCTGCAGATGATCGGGCGCTGCTGGCCCCACCTGCGCGCGCTCGGCGTCGGCGGCGCCGGCTGCGGCCTGCAGGGCCTGGCCTCCCTCGGTAGGCACTGGGCAGGGGCTCACACAGCGGGCATGGGGCTGGGAGGGCTCGGGGACACCCAACACCCTGTGCCCAGTGCCCACCCCGTGCCCAGCCCAGCACTCGGGATCACGGGTCACACAGCGGGCCCGGGGCTGGGGAGGGCTCGGGGACACCCAACACCCTGTGCCTGACACACACCCTGTGCCCAGTGCCCACCCTGTGCCCAATACCCATCCTCTGCCCAGCCCAGCACTCGGGATCATGGCTCACAGAGGGTCACTGGGCTGGGGAGTGCTCTGGGGCACCCACTCACCCTGTGCCCAATGCCCACCCTGTGCCCAATGCCCACCCTGTCCCCAGCACAGCACTTGGGATCATGAGTCACAGAACAGGTCACTGGGCTTGGGAAAGGTCTCTGGGATCACCATGTCCACCCCATGCCCAGCCCAGCACTCGGGATCACGGGTCACACAATGGGTCACTGGGCTGCGGGAGGGGCTCTGGGGGCACCCACACACCCTGTACCTGATGCCCATCCTGTGCCTGAAACCCACCCTGTGCCTGATGCCCACCTGTGCCCGATGCCCACCCTGTGCCCGATGTCCCCATGTCCCCAGCCCAGCACTTGTGGGTCACAGAACGGGTGACAGGTCTTGGGGAGGATCCAAGGGCCACCAATGCACCCAATGCCCACCCTGTCCCCAGCCCTTGGGATCACAGGTTACAGAGCAGATCACTGGGCTTGGGGAGGAGCTCTGGGGCCACCAACACACCCTGTGCCTGATGCCCACCCTGTGCCCAGCCCAGCACTCAGGATCACGGGTCACACAATGGGTCACTGGGCTGCGGGAGGGGCTCTGGGGGCACCCACACACCCTGTACCTGATGCCCACCCTGTGCCTGATGCCCACCTGTGCCCGATGCCCACCCTGTGCCCAATGTCCCCATGTCCCCAGCCCAGCACTCGTGGGTCACAGAACGGGTGACAGGGCTTGGGGAGGATCCAAGGGCCACCAACGCACCCAATGCCCACCCTGTCCCCAGCCCTTGGGATCACAGGTTACAGAGCAGGTCACTGGGTTTGGGAAGGAGCTCTGGGGCCACCAACACACCCTGTGCCTGATGCCCACCCTGTGCCCAGCCCAGCACTCAGGATCATGGGTCACTGGGCTTGGAAAGGATCCAAGGGGGATCAACCCACCCCGTACCCAATGCCCTGTGTCACCAGCCCGGCCCTTGGGATCCGGGGTCACAGAACAGGTCACTGGCCTTGGGAGGGGTCTCTGGGATCACCATGTCCACCCCGTGCCCAATGCCCCGTGTCCCCAGCCCAGGGCACTGGGTGCCACCTCCTGCCCTTCCCTGGGCACCTGCAGGGCTGGGGGCTCCCTCCCCCCTGGCACAGCTCCCTCCTGCTCTGCTGGGACAGGGACAGTTCCCTGGCCGTGGGCAGGGGCTGCTCCCCGGGGTCCCTGCAGAGGCCCGCCCAGCCCAGCCCGGTGGGTGCTCCTGGCCCCCGGTGCCACCGCGGTGCTGACGCGTGTCCCCCAGCCCGGAACTGCATGAGGCTGCAGGTGCTGGAGCTGGACCACGTGGCCGAGATCAACCAGGAGGTGGCTGCTGAGGTGTGCCGCGAGGGGCTCAAGGGGCTCGAGATGCTGGTGCTCACCTCCACGCCCGTCACCCCCAAAGCCCTGCTGCACTTCAACAGTGAGTAGCGGTGCCAGGCTGCCTGCCACCCGCCCGGGGGGCACTGGGAGCTCTGTGGGGATCCCACGTCCCCAGCAGGGATGGCCCCAGGAGGGCTGGCCGTGCCTCGGGCCGCAGGGAGGATGGGGGGCTGCCTCCATGCCCCCAGGGCCGCTGTGTGTGCCACACCTGAGGCCGTGACAGAGCTGAGTCCTTGGCAGGGCAGGATGCCCACAGCCCCGGGAGGGCTGTCCTGCTGGCCCCAGCTCGGGTGGCTGTGCCTGGGATACAATACCATTCATCTGCTCGGGGATGGCAGAGTCAGGGTCCCCAGGGGAGCAGGAGGGGCACGGCTGGGCTCTGGGGTCCCCAGGGGAGCAGGAGGGGCACGGCTGGGCTCTGGGGTCCCCAGGGGAGCAGGAGGGGCACGGCTGGGCTCTGGGGTCCCCAGGGGAGCAGGAGGGGCACGGCTGGGCTCTGGGCTCCCTGCTGGCCCCAGGGGAGCACACCCAGGCGCTGTCTGTGCCCCCAGGTGTGTGCAGGAACCTGAAGTCCATCGTGGTGCAGGTGGGGATCGTGGACTACTTCAAGGAGCCCCACAGCCCCGAAGCCAGGAGGATGTTTGAGGAAATGGTGAACAAACTGCAGGTAAGGAGCCCAGGGCCAGCTCCAGGGGTCACCAGCCCTGTGTCCTCCCCGAGGAGGGGTCACAAATGTTCCCCCTGTCCCTGCCTCACCCCGTGTCTTCCCTGAGGCAGGGATTGGAGATCATGTTCCCCCTCTCCTTCCCTTGCCATGTCCTTCCCATGGCAGGAATTCCCCTGTCCCTCCCTCACCCCGTACAGGATTTGGGGCATCCCCCCCTCACCCCGTACAGGATTTGGGGCATTCCCTGTCCCCCCTCACCCCGTACAGGATTTGGGGCATTCCCTGTCCCCCCTCACCCCGTACAGGATTTGGGGCATCTCCCCCTCACCCCGTACAGGATTTGGGGCGTTCCTTTGCCCCTCCCCAGGAGCAGGGCACTCCCCCAGCCCCGCTCTCTGCTGCTCTCGCAGGCCCTGCGGAAGAGACCCGGCTTCTCCAAGATTTTACACATCAAGGTGGAGGGAGGCTGTTAGCCCTCGGGGCCCAAAGCACATTCCCTGCTCTGCCCGGCGGAGCCCCCTGAGACCAAAGCCCTGGTGGGGACCCCGGCTCGGGCACGAGGAGCCCCCAACCCTCCGGGGCCACAAGGTGCTACTCAAGGACAATTTCTGGCTGCCCCGAGGCAGGGCCTGCTCTTTGCCAGGAGGGAAGATGGCTCGCAGCCCCAGGATCCGTGTTTGGGGACGGCTGCTCTGCACAACTCTGCTGTGGGGTCTCGGGCCAGGGATGCCCAGCCCGTCCTGGGGGCTCTTGGCTGGCCTGGCCTCTGCACCCCCAGCCTCTCCGTGGCCTGGGAAGGGGCTGCTGCTCCCCCAGCGTTCCCACAGGGTTTCTGCTCCTTTCATTTGGGATTGGGGGCAGCCAAAGGCGGGAAAGGCTCCCAGGAGCCAGCACAGCACAAGGAGCAGAGCTGCACCAGGAGAGACGGGTGCTCTGCCAGAGGGCTCCAGCCCCGCTTCCTCCCAGCAAACCCCTCCTGCAAGGCAATAAACCACCTCCAGATCCTCGTCCAGGGGAAACACGGGTCACGCTCCCGTCCCACCCTCCAGGCTCCATCCGGGCTCAGCATCCCCCGTGGAGAGAGGGACTGGCAGGGGACAGCCACGTCTGCCTCCCGAGCAGCCTGAGACACCCTGGCCAGATTATCCTGGAAAGATCCTGGGAAAAGCACCAACCGACTGCCCTGGCTGAGCCTCGCCTACAGCCACCGTCTGCTAAATCTGATTTTTCTTCTGAGTGTCCTCAGCCTGCAGGGACATCATCATCGTCATCATCCCCAAAACATCCTTCTTCCACGGGCAAAGCTTTGGAAAGGCATCCAGCAGGGTCAGGCATCTCCATCCTCCACGCTGGGAGAAGGAAGCAGGAGGTGGCCCCGGGCTGGGGACAGCCATGAGAGCACTGCCAGCAGTGGGGACAGCCTGGCCTTCCCCACAGCCCCAGCCCCTGGCCTTGGACCCCGGGCTGAGCGGAGAGGAGGCCACTGGAGAGAGGATCTGGGGCTTTTCCCTCTCCCTGGACCTGCAGGTTTTGGTGCCTGCTGGCCAGCGCGGCTGTGAGGGGACAGCTCCCACCCCTGGCTGTCCCCTCCTGGAGCAAGGGGCTCACGTGGGGCGTCCCCCAGGAGGGACCAGGCTGCAGATCCAGCACCACGGCCCTCACCCGTGGCACGAGAGCTGCTGAACACAGCCCGTGGGGGTCCCCAGAGCAAGGGAAAGCACCCCCAAATCGCGGGGCTGGTGGGGCTCTGGAGGCAGCCCGAGACCTTCAGCCACCCTCCATCCCTGCTGCCTGTCTGCTCCGGAGCAGGGCCGGGGTTTTGGGGCCACAGCCCCGTGGGAAGCACCCCTGCTGCCCTCCCTTGCAGCTTTCCAGGAGAAGGCTGTTCCTGAATGCACAAGATGGGGGAGCCCACAAACGCCTGCCAGAACCTCCTGCACGCCCCAGTCCCACGGATGAGCTCCCAGCTCCCTGCCCTGCCCACCTGGGTTTACCTCCACCCCAGGGAGCCTGGGACGCTCCTGATCCAGGGGCAAGAGCAGCAAGGGATGCTCCAACCAGCAAAAAACCACCCAGCAGAGCTACATCCCCCAGGGAACACCCAGCCGTGTGCAGGAGATGGCACCACCACGGCGCAGGGACTCAGAATTCCCTCAAAAACTCAAACAAAACAAAGTACCTATTTATTTCTATAAAGAGAAGAAGGAAAAAAAAAAGATTTTAAAGGAAAGTTATATACTCAGCATGTTTGTACACTCTGTGCTTAAAGACTGTCGTGGCCCAAGGCTGGAGGCGGCTGCTCCGGGCGTGCCCCGAGCCTCTCCCGGCTCCTCAGGGTGAGGTGATGGAAAGAGGGGAGGCGTGAGGACTCCAGAGAAGCCTTCTGTGCCAGCGGGGTCGGTGGCTGTGTGTGTGGTGGCGTTGGTGGCCCTGTGACCCCCATCCCTGCGCTGCCCCGGGCTTTGGGAGCCTCGCCTGCACTCGGTGCTTGCCCAGGACCAGATCGAACCTCAGCTCTGCCCGGGCCTTCCCGGAAAACCCAGCTCAGCAAAGCCTCCTTTCACAAAAATCCTCTGACGACACAAGACCTTCAGCGGGTTCGAGGACTGGAAGACGGAGAGTGGGGGTTTCTGCCTGTTTTGCTTGGGCTTGAACGGATCCCTTCCTCATCCTCCTCCTCGGCTGGGGATGAAGGCGGCGGGCACAGTGACAGGAGTGGCGGAAGGGGGGCCCTCCTGGTGGCTCCTGATTGCCCAGCTCGTTAACGAGCTCATTAGCGGCTCCGAAATGCCAGACGATGGTGCCCCTGCTGCTCCCTGTGCGCCCCCAGAGCCTCGGCCCTTCCTCTGATGGGAACACCCAGAAATGTTTCCTGGGAAAGCCTTGGGACCGCACAGCGCGTGCAGAAGTGCCAGGGGGGCTCTGCGGTGACAATCCCAGTAAAATCCGGGGATCCGGGGCAGGGTTGGGCTCACAGGGGCTGGATGGACCGTGGTTCCCAGCCTGGCTCCTGCAGGACCAGCTCTGGGGAGATTTATTCCTTTTCCAATGCGTTTTCCCAAAGTTTCCCCGTGGCTGACATTGCCAGCATTGCCCTGCACCTGCGTTTGGGCGCTGGTCAGGGATTTCCAGAGGAACAACCTCACCAAAGGCAGCTCGGGGGCCAAAGCCATCCCTAATCCCTGCTTTTGTGTCTCCCTCGTGTTGGATCTCACTCGTTCCCCATCACCCCCAGCCCCAGGGATGCCCTGGGGATCAGGGGCCTCCTCCTGCCTTACCCCCTGCCTTGGGGCTCCAGGGTGTCAGGGACTGAGGGAAAGGGGGCCCCAGGCTGGCTCTGCCCCAGCAGGATTTTAAACCTCTCTGTCCCTCTTCTTGCCGGGTGTCCTGGTCCCTGCTGCCACCAAGGGCACGGCCACGGCAGGGGCTTGTCTGGATGCCCCAAAAGAGCCTGGATTTAGGGAAAACAGAGCAAAAACAAACCAGGAGAAGCGCTGGTAATGGCTCCTGAAGTGGTTAACAGATGTGTTCCTTCAGCTTTTAGGGGAGGCCCCAGCCCAGGAGCTGGAGCATTGCTTCAGCCTCATTTTGGGGTGAGAAACAGCAGGGTGGGCCGGAGCAAAAGCATTTGGGAATTGGTGCCAAATGAGAAAGTGCTGTAAAAGAGAAAAAATCCCAGGGAGCAGGGAGGTGTTGGGAAGCAGAGATGGTTTGTTGTGACCGAAGCATTGCAGGGTGTTGAGGCAGTGATGGACCTTCCCCATCAGAGGGAGGCAAAATAATCCCTGGGGAGTGTGGGAGAGCACGGAGGGAAAGCTGCTGCAGCAGCGAGGAGGGGAAACTGCCCAAAGCAAGAAAAAAAGGGATTTTCTAGTGCAGCCTCGGGACTGAGCCCATGGAGGGCAGCGAGGCAGGTTGGGGCCGGGGACAAGTGGGTGCAATGGTGTGGGGCAGGTTTGGGAAGCCAGGGGGAGATGCACAGTTGCTTTGAGATAATCAGAGGAGATAATCAGTGCAGAGAATAGAGATATATAAATCAGGACCTGGAGTCACTCCCTACGGCCCTGGACGGCAGCGGTGTACAGCGACCTCCCCTCCCCAGAGCTCCCCGTGGCCTCCCAAGTTATTTTTTTAACTCTCTATAAATTTAGGTCTATTTTAGTCTTTCCGCAGCGATGTGCCAGTGTCTGGAGAACCAAACATCCCTTCCTGCCCCTGTCCCTGGATGCTGAAGGTGTGCCGAGGTTCCTGGAGGGGAGAGCAGGGATGGGCAGGCCGGGGGAGCAGCGCAGCCTGGCCTGCAGCCCGTGGCTTTAGCACTTTGGTTGGAACTCTCACCTGTAGACGCACTTTGATGTTGTTGCTTTGAAACTTTGGCAAGTGTAAACAATGTGTACTCAAAGAATTACAGAGAAACGACCCCCAGCCAAGCGTGTAAAGAGCTATTTTATGACTCGGTGTTGAATAAAGACTCTGGAGATCCAGCTGGGCTGTCACTCTCCCGGGCTCACACCGGACCCACTCCAGTGACACCAGTCCCTGCTTGGGGGCTGCTGGAAGCGTCCTCCTGCTCCCTCTGCAGGTCCAGGGCTCCACTGGTCTGGCATCAGGGGCACGGGGACCAAGCGGGACACAGGGACACAGCACGGGGGGGCACCGAGAGGGACAGGCCCTGGCACAGGGTGCCCAGAGCAGCTGGGGGTGCCCCTGGGTTCCTCAAGTGTCCAAGTGTCCCTGTCTTGGAGCAGGCTGGGACAGTGGAAGGCATCCCTGGATGATCTTCATGGTCCCTTCCAACTCAAACCATTCCATGATTCTGTATTTTTCTCTGCCCTCCTCCTCACCTGTAACCCACCAGACCCAAGTCTCCCCATGTTCTCCCAGCACATTTTCCTCCCTGAGTCTCCCCAAACGCCTGCATCCATCCTTGGAGCCCCTTGGAGCTGTCACCCAGCTGCTGCCCTGAACCTCCTTCAGTGAAGCAAATGGAAAATGGAAATGCCCCATTGAGCAGAAGCCAATTAAAGTGTCAGTGAGCAATTTCCAGGAGCTCCAAGCGCACACAGAGGTGCTCCATCCTAGAGGATGTGCCTGGAGTCTGCCCTGCTCTCCAGCACAGCACCTGCTTTGAAACAGGGCAAAACCCAGCCCAAAGGTTCATTTCCAACTCCAGTCCTGAGGCCTCCCTGTGTGGATGCAGCACAGAACAGAGGACAAGCCCAATGTGCCACTGAGACCGACTCGTTTTATTGTGCTGGAGCTGGCTTCAAAGTGCCCAGCAGAACAAAACACAAACCAGTATAAATAGACCCCAAAGCCCCCTGCACTGCTCCAGCCCCGAGGAGGGAAGGGGCCCCAGGAGGGAAAGGCCTGGAGGAGGGAACGCTCCTGGGGAGGGAAGGGGCCCCAGGAGGGAAGGGTCCTGAGGGAATGCCCAGGCCAGCGAGGCAGCGCCAGGCAGGGCAGCTCCAGGGCTGTGGCTGCCAGCGCCAGGAGCTGCTCGTGACCACCAGGAGCTGCCTGTGACCACCAGAAACTGCCCGTGACCACCAGGAGCTGCTCGTGACCACCAGGAGCTGCCCGTGACCACCAGGAGCTGCCTGTGACCACCAGAAACTGCTTGTGACCACCAGGAGCTGCCTGTGACCACCAGGAGCTGCGCGTGACCACCAGGAGCTGCCCGTGACTGCCCCCAGCCCGGGGCTGCCAGCCCTGAGCAGGGGAAGGATCAGCACTGATCCCAGCGGATTTGAGGAGCTCTCGTGACTGCCCCCAGCTCGGGGATGCCAGCCCTGAGCAGGGGAAGGATCAGCACTGATCCCAGCGGATTTGAGGAGCTCAGTGGCTGTGGGGCTGGCAGCCCCGGGCGGGATCAGCGCTGATCCCAGGGGTTTGGGGCTCTCAGAGGTGTGGGGCTGGCAGCCCCGGGCGGGATCAGCACTGATCCCAGGGGTTTGGGGCCGATCCCAGGGGTTTGGGGCCGATCCCAGGGGCCGGGGCTCTCAGTGGTTGTGGGGCCGGGCGCGCGCGCGGCCGCGGGGCGCGGCGGCAGGCCCGCTGTCCACGCTGGAGCGCGGGTTGCGGATGGTCTCGTCCACGGACACGACGAGGCACGCGGCCTCCGAGGCCGCCGTCAGCGCGTTGATGCGCACCACGGCCGGCTCCCACACGCACGCCGAGAAATTGTCAGCTATGTCCTCGTTGGTCACGTCCACGCCGTACCACATCCCGCCCTGGGGACAGAGGGACACGTCAGTGACACAGCTGCTTGAGGGACAGAGGGACACGTCAGTGACATGGGCCGCTGAGGGACAGAGGGACAGATCGGTGCCACAGCCTGCTGAGGGACAGAGGGACACGTCAGTGACACAGCTGCTGAGGGACAGAGGGACACATCAGTGACACAGCCTGCTCTGGGGACAGGGATCAGTGCCACAGCCTGCTCTGGGGACAGGGATCAGTGCCACAGCCTGCTCTGGGGACAGGGATCAGTGCCACAGCCTGCCCTGGGGGACAGAGGGACAGGGACCACTGCCACATCCCACCCTGCATGACAGAGGAACAGGATCAGTGCCACATCCCGCTCTGGGGCACAAGGATCAGTGCCACATGCTGCCCTGGGGGACAGGGATCAGTGCCAGATTCCACTCTGAGGGACAGCGATCAGTGCCACATTCTGCTGAGGGACAGAGGGGGACAGGGATCAGTGCCATAGCCTGCCCTGAGGGACAGAGGGACACAGGGGTCAGTGCCCCATCCCACTCTGAGAGGACAGAGGGGACAAAGGGACAGGGATTGGTCACGGGGCTGTGTGGGACCTGGGGAAAGCCTGGAGGGAAGGCCAGGCAAAGGCGAAGGGAGAGGCAGGAGCCTCCCTCACATTCTGCTGTGAGGGAAAACACAAGAAATCCCGGCTGAGCAGTCTCTGCTTTCGGGGCCAGCAGTGCCTCATGAAGAGCAGGCTCCTTCCAGTCTAGGATCACAGAATCCTGAGGCTGGAAAAGCCCTCCCACACCATCCAGTCCCAGCCGTGCCCCATCCCCACCTCATGCCCAGCCCAGAGCCCTGGAGCCACCTCCAGCCTTTCCCTGGACACCTCCAGGGATGGGGGCTCCAAAGCTCCCTGGGCAGCCCCTGCCACGAAGCTGCAGAAGCCTCACAGACCTGACTCCCCCTCTGCTGCTGCCTGGGTTTGCTCCCTCATTTTGGGGGACCCCCCCGAGCCCCAGCACCAGCAGCAGGGTGAAACGTGCAGGGAATGACAGAACCCAAGGGGCAGCCTCCGAGCCCTGGAGCTGGGACCTCAACAAGAGCAGCACTCAGAACCCTCTGCCTGCAGCTCCCGTGTAAAACGCTCAGCTCAGCTGCCTCCTGCACCTGCCTCCTTTAATGTTTAACACAGCAGCTCCTCCCTGACAAGTGATGAGTTTTTAAGGAGCAAATCAGAACTCCCAGCTCAGGAAGTCACCTGACAGCTGGGATCAAAGGGAAAACAGCTCCTTTCCATTTACAGCCACTGTGCCAGGCCCACACCTGATGTGAGACAAACATGGAGTTTAATCAAAGGGGACATGGCTCCAACACGGGCTCAGCTGAGCTACACCAGCTCTGACAGGCTCCAGGGGGAACTGGGGAGAGAGCAACCACACACCCTGCCTCTGGGATGCCCGGGTGTCTTAGGCTGAAAGGTGCAGCTGGGGGTGTGTATTCTATTGCCTCCTGTCAGAGCTGGGGCAGCTCTCTCTGTTCATGGGGCAGTTTTATCCCTTCCACAGCCAGTCCTCCCTCTGGGAGATATCCTCTGTTAATGGGCCATTAATTATTAATTATCTTCTGGTCATGGCCAGTGAGTGTCCCTGCATGGCTGATAAAATTCCATCATCCCATGGAGAGATGCTCTGCCCAGGGGAGGAGCCAAGCATTCCTACCTGGATACAATCTGAGGTTTGGAACACCACAGCAGCCTCTGCCCCCTGCATTCCCAGAGGAGCAGCTTTCTCCTGCCCTGCATTCCCAGAGGAGCAGCTTTCTCCTGCCCTGCATTCCCAGAGGAGCAGCTTTCTCCTGCCCTGCATTCCCAGAGGAGCAGCTTTCTCCTGCCCTGCATTCCCACAGGAGCAGCTTTCTCCTGCCCTGCATTCCCACAGGAACACCAGGCCCATCTCCAGCAGCCCTGGAGCTGCAGAGGAAAACTCCCCCCTTGTGCAGGATCCCTGCTCCAGCAGAAGCACAGCTGGCACTGCAGGAGGGCTGAGCCCCCATGGGATGGGGCTGTGCCACCACCCTGACCCACAGGGGCAGCTCCTGCTCTGACTCTGGCAGTGCTGTTTTTGTACTATTGCATTTGTATTTCTAATTTCCCTAGCAAAGAACTGTTATTCCTGTTCCCATATCTTTGCCTGAGAGCCCCTTAATTTCAAAATGACAATAATTTGGAGGGAGGGGGTTTGCATTTCCCATTTCAGGGCAGCTCCTGCCTTCCTCAGCAGCCACCCGGCCTTTCGAAGCACGGCCCCGTGCCCTACCTGGGCGTGCTTGGCGCGCAGCTTGTTGAGGATGTTGGTGGCGTCGAAGCCGGCGTTGTCGCACAGCTGCCGGGGGATGATCTCCAGGGCCTTGGCGTAGGCGCCGATCAGCAGCTGCTGCTTGCCCGGGATGGTGCGCGAGTAGTCCCGCAGGAACTTGGACAGCTCCATCTCGATGGCGCCGCCGCCCGCCACCACCGAGTCGTTCTGCATGGGGCACAGCACAGGGGCTGTCGGGGTGCTGCAGCCCTGCAGGCAGGGCACTGCACAGCCCATGGCAATGCACAGCCCTGCAGGCACAGCATTGCACAGCCCTGCAGGCATGGCAAACCACAGCCCATGGCACTGCACAGCCCTGCAGGCATGGCACTGCAGGGTGCTGCAGCCCTGCAGGCACAGCACTGCACAGCCCATGGCACTGCACAGCCCTGCAGGCACTGCACAGCCCAGGGCACTGCACAGCCCTGCAGGCACGGCACTGCACAGCCCATGGCAATGCACAGCCGATGGCCCCATGGCACTGCACAGCCCATGGCACTGCAGAGCCCTGCAGGCACGGCATTGCACAGCCCATGGCAATGCACAGCCCTGCAGGCATGGCAAACCACAGCCCTGCCAGCCCCAGCCCACAGCATTGCACAGCCCTGCAGGCATGGCAAACCACAGCTCTGCCAGCCCCAGCCCACAGCACTGCACAGCCCTGCAGGCGTGGCAAACCACAGCCCATGGCACTGCACAGCCCTGCCAGCCCATGGCAAACCACAGCCCTGCAGGCATGGCAAACCACAGCTCTGCCAGCCCATGGCAATTCCCAGCCCTCCCAGCCCATGGCACTGCACAGCCCTGCCAGCCCCAGCCCATGGCAAACCACAGCCCTGCAGGCATGGCAAACCACAGCTCTGCCAGCCCATGGCACTGCACAGCCCTGCCAGCCCCAGCCCATGGCAAACCACAGCCCTGCAGGCATGGCAAACCACAGCTCTGCCAGCCCATGGCACTGCACAGCCCTGCCAGCCCCAGCCCTGGTGCTGCTGTCCCTGGGACTGTCTGCCAGCAGCAGCAGGGACACACCAAGAACCTGCAGTGGCAGCTCCAGCAGCACAGCCCAGCTGTGCACAAGAGAAAGGGTGGTTTGGGGACGCTACACCCAAAGGGAGGGATGGCAGCTCACAGCCAACTCGGGCCAGGGAAACTTCCTCACTCTCATAAAGCATCCAAAATTAAAGAGATTGGCTGCAGCACCTTGCAGCTCAGTTCTGCTGCTTTTCCAGGAAAGAGATCAGGATGTCCTTTCTAAAAGCAACAACTCCAAAACTCCTGACATGCTTCTCCACAGCCTCTCAGGACATGCAGCCTCAGGGCTGCTTTTAACCAGAAGCTCTTCCTACAGTGACACGTTCTCGTGTAACCCAGAGCTTGGCAGCATCACCCAGGATCAAACACACGTCCAGAGAGGCCTTGGACTTCTCCTGGTGCCCCCAGCCTGCCCTCAGAGCCACGGGACTGTCATGCCCTCAGACTGGGCACAGGGGTCAAGTGGCTCTATGGCATGGACACACATGTGCCATCAATCTGCTGTTCCATCTCCGGAAGGTCCACCCAGCACAGCCAGGAGATCGTTCCCTTTAGGATGGAGCAAACATGAGGGACAGCTGCACAGAAGTGCAGGTGAAGCCCAGGCATGCCTGGAGAGCAGCTGCAAACGCTGCCAGAGCCACACTGAGCTGGCCAAGCAGCTGCACTCGAGGGAACCCACGAGATGTGCTCACTGTGCAGAGCCCCCAGCCAAGCCCTGGTGTGTGAGAGGTGCCCAGCAGCCCTGGCAGGGCAGGGCAGGGCAGGCAGGGCTCACCTTGATGGCCCTCCTGACGATCATGATGGCGTCGTGCAGGGAGCGCTCCGTCTCCTCCATGAACTGCTCGGCGCCCCCGCGCAGGATGATGGTGCACGTCTTGGCCTTGGGGCAGCCCGTGAAGAAGTTGTACCTGCCACGGGGAGGGTGTGGCATGGGGGAGCTGCTGCTGGATGGGCAGTGTGGCACACAGCCAGCCCTGCAGCCGCGGCCCCCTCGCAGCCCCAGCGCATCCTGGGCTCAGGAGAGCAGGGCCAGGGAACACGGAAGTGACATTCCAGATAATCCAGGAAAATCCGTTCTCTTCCTGCTGCCAGGGATCCACACTGAACTGGTGATCCCAGTTTGCATTTGGCAGGAGCACAGACGACAGCAGCCAGCTGCAAACAGGACTGGAAGGACCCCAGTGTACCATCCCCAGCTTCTCCTGCACTGACAGGGAAGCGTCAAGCTGGAACATCACAGAAGTGCCACAATCAACCCCAAAATGTGATGGTTTTCTATTGCAAATGCAACAATACCACTGGCCTTTTTACAAGGCACTGCAGCATAAATGTTTTTTAAAAGCTTTTATAAGAGGTAGGATCTTAATGAAATTTTGCTCCTGCCCCCTCCCTCAGCCTCAAACAGCAGCTTCTGGCTACAATAACATATACATTTTGTAACAACCTTCTTTTCCTCTCAACAGCTTGAGAGATGTTGACCCTGCCAACACTTTGACCCCAACTTTTCCACCTACTATGACAATGGTTGCACAGCACCACAGGTTTGCAGCTGGTGTTGTTACCTCTCTCCCCCAATCTGGGTCTCCTCAAAGAGCTCACAGCGGCCCAGCACATCATCCGACAGGGCATTGACACTGGTCTGGATGGATCCCCCACAGGCCTGCAGGGAATGGGGACAAACATGGAATTACCACTGCTGACAACCCACACCAACCTCCCAGCAGGCTCCACTCTTCAGGGACAGCCCAGCTGTTGAGCTGGTGCAAACCCATCCTGCAGATTCAGGAAAACCCTTCTCCCTCCCTCCCCTCTCATGGAGCCAGGCCAACCCTCAACAGCAAAATAAGTTCATGCAGCTTCAAGGTGCTGACTCACAGGCTCCAGAGCCCAGGAGATACACAAAAAAAACTCAGGAAAAAACCTACTCATGATGGAAAAGAGAAGAACTCAGGAAAATAGACCTCTACTGATGCACTGATCAGATCTTTGTATGTAACACCAGGGTGTGACTGCTCACCCAGCAGGGAACAGCCCTGTCCTTTCAAACCCCTGTGAGGAGCAGTGCCATCAGCGAGCAGCTGTTTGGGAATGCCCAGCCTGGGCTGTCAGAACCTTGCCAAGGCTTTCCTCCAAGCCAGGGGAGCTCACCATCATGGTCCTCTTGAGATCCTCCTCGGGGACGCGGCCGGCACAGAACATGTCCCTGTCTGCAAAGTACTGGGTGGCCACATCCCCAATGGGCAGCTTGGACAGCACCACCTTGGCTCCTGACTTGTGGATTTTGTCCAGTTTGTCATACAGGATGTTCCACTCTGCGTCCACGATGGCCTGGTAGTCCTGGCAGAGGACAGAGAGGTGTTCTGTGCCAGGGGATGGCCCAGGTGCAGCCCTGGCACAGAGTCTCGAGGGCCCTGCTCCACGGCACTGCCCAAAAGGCTCCTTCAACCCCAGGAGCCCTTGCAGCACTCTGGGCACTGCTGCATGAGCTGTCCCTGCAAGGCCACTTGTCAGCCCCAAGGCAGTCACCCCAGAGCTGGTGGCCCAGCACAGCTGGGGCACAGTGACAGCTCACCAACGTGTCCTGACCCTGCTGTGCTTCCCAGCCTGCTGGAGCCCCATTCCCAGGGCAGCACAGCCCACCAGGTGTTTCCAAAGGTGAAGGATGGGCAGAAGGCAAACTCATTTATCATGGAATGGTTTGGGTGGGAAGGAACCTTTAAAGGTCATCCAGTGCCACCCTCTGCCACAGGCAGGGACACCTTCTGCCATCCCAGGCTGCTCCCAGCCCCAATGTCCAACCTGGCCTGGGGCACTGCCAGGGATCCAGGGGCAGCCACAGCCAATCTGGGAATTCCAGCCCAGCCCCTGCCCACCCTCCCAGCCAGCAATTCCTTGCCAAGATCCCAGCCCAATCTCCCCTTGGCCAGTGGCAGCCATTCCCTGTGTCCTGTCCCTCTGTCCCTTGTCCCCAGTCCCTCTGCAGCTCTCCTGGAGTCCCTCCAGGGACTCTGAGCATTCCCTGGAATTTTCCCTTCTCCAGGGGAACATTCCCAGCTCTCCAGCCTGGCTCCAGCCCTCTCAGCATCTCTGGCCCTGCCAGAGATGTGTCACAGGGATGAGGAAGTGTCACAGGGATGAGGAAGCAGGCCAGGCTCCCCTGGGGCTCTTACCTCCACCGTGTTCACTCTGACCTCAGCGTTGTCCTTCTCAGCTTTGAGCTCCAGCTCCACGTTGAGCAGGGCGATTTTGGGGGACTGGTACTTCTTGGGCTGCATCTCAAACCCAGCGTAGGAGAAGGTTTTCTTAAAGGCAACTCCAGCCACCAGCTGTGAGTCCTGGAACGCAGGGATCTGCCTCAGGCTCAGCCCCCAAGGCTTTCTGCACAGGGTTAATAACAACTCCCCCAGGACACTCCCTGCTCCCAGAGGCCTCATTTACAAAGCCTTCCCAGCACTGTCTCCTTTGATTAACCCACTTTCAGAGGAAATAAGCAGCAAGGATTTCTTTCAGCTCACAAAAGCAGCTTTCTCTCTATCCTTCAAAACTCCACAGCCAAGAATTCCTCACAGAATCTAAAAACCAAGGAATGGAGCAACCAGTTCCCTCCCTGATCTCTCTCCCATTCCTCCCCTTTGAACTTTTGGGTATTTCTCATCCACAGCCCCACTGGGGGATGGCTTTTGCTCTGGTTTGTCTTTCCAAGTTCCATCACCACCTCCTGGATTTTCTGCAGCAGGACAGTCCTGTCCAACACCATTCCCTGGCATGAGCTCCTCAATTTCCTGGGTGAAGAAACCAGGATCTGAATCTCCCTCTCCACAGGGGCTGTCCCTCAGCCAGGATCAATCCCCTACCCCATATCCAGGTGCAGTCCCACACACAACAGGTTCTCCAGCACTGAGGCATAAACCACACATCCCACCTGCCCTGCCCACCACTAAATCAGCTCCATGAGGTTTGCCTTGCATTTTTCCCAACCCAGTAATCCTACATGCAACCAGGAGTTTTAGATCCAGAACAAAGACTTCCCACCAAAAAAAACCAAAACAAAACAAAAAATTATTTATGGAGAGATAGATGGAATTTTATCAGTAACAACTTTTGCTGCACTGAGGTGAAGAGTGTGTTTAGCCCAAAACCCAGAAATTCTGCCTATGGAAAAGAAACCCTGCTAAGCTTCCTCCTCAGACCAACAGCTTTGTTCCACTTTGGGAATTCCCCAACAGGCACTGTCAAGCCAGGCTGCACTTCTGCTAGAGCCAAGGCACCATCAGAGCTGGGATCCCTGTCTCCCACCCCTTCAGGAAGGCTCCAGCACTTACCTCCAAAGCTCCTCCTTGCACCTTCTTTATCCCGATCATCTTGAGCTGCAACAAGTCATCCAACATCATCACAGCATCTACAACCATCTTGGAGAAAAACTCCTTGCTCTGGGAGATGAGCTTGGAGCTCAGGGCTGTAGCTGCACACTTTTCCAGGAGACTCCTCTGCTCACTGCAGAAAGGGAAAGGAAAAACAAAGGTTTGGTCACCCTGCCAGACCTTCTCACAAGCCCCAAACACCATATGTGGCTTTGTTAATCACAGGTTTAACCTGAAAAATATCTTTAGGATCATTCAGTCCATCACTGCCAAGGCCACCACTGCCCCTGTCCCCAAGTGCCACAGCCACAGGGCTCTGAAATCCCCCAGGGATGGGCACTCCACCCCTGCCCTTTCCATCAGGAATGTCCCCAGTGCCCACCCTGAGGCTCCCCTGGGGCCATTCCCTCTGCTCCTGTCCCTGTTCCCTGGAGCAGAGCCCGACCCCCCCGGCTGTCCCCTCCTGGCAGGAGCTGTGCAGAGCCACAAGGGCCCCTGAGCCTCCTCTGCTCCAGGCTGAGCCCCTTCCCAGCTCCCTCAGGGATTCTGCAGCCCCTTCCCAGCTCCTTCAGGGATTCTGCAGCCCCTTCCCAGCTCCTTCAGGGATTCTGCAGCCCCTTCCCAGCTCCTTCAGGGATTCTGCAGCCCCTTCCCAGCTCCCTCAGGGATTCTGCAGCCCCTTCCCAGCTCCCTCAGGGATTCTGCAGCCCCTTCCCAGCTCCCTCAGGAATTCTCCAGCCCTTCCCAGCTCTGCTCCCTGCCCTGGCCACGCTTCAGCCCCTCAGGGTCTGTCTTGTCATGAAGGGTCCAAAATCCCCTCTGGCAGAGGCAAAGATCAGCTCCCCCTGTTCATGGGGAGAACAAGGCACAAACCCCAGACTGACAAATCCCAGTCTCCTTTTCAGAGCTCAAGCATCAGCCCAGCACGAGGCTGATCAGCTCTCATGCACCTAAAATCAGAAAAGAGCATGTGCTCTCCTTCATCCTGAGGCAGGAAGATGTTTCTGAAACCCTCTAAAGGCAGCACATCCCCTGAACTACTAACTCAGGTAGTACCTGTGCAGCAGTGGGTGACACAGGGAGATGTGGATCCAGCTGCCAGGCTCTGTCCCCTTTGGGAACCACTCCATTTCTCATCACAAGGCCACATTTGGTTTTTTTTTTCGCAGCAATTTTTAAAATTAGGTTTGGACAACTCATTTTGGTTTATTCAAGAAATGCTTATGAAGTTGAAATACTTCCAATTAACTGCAGGTATCAGCAAGGTCAAGTGGACATGAGCTTAAAATCCAGGGAGAAAAGAACTCCAGCACTTCAGCTCAGCTGAAGGGATCACTGCTATGAGCTATCTACCTTGGTGTGTGACAGCTAAAAGGGGATCTGATCCTCAGGGAACTGCTGAGATTTAACACTGCCACTGACTGCAGCAAGAGCTCCAAGGCTCCACCCTGCAAAAAAGAAATCAGGCCACTTCTTTTGGTGCCCAGCTTCCTCCATGAGCACTGGGACACTGCCCTACATCATCCCTGCACCAGGTGGGAGCACAGCACTGCCCTGGAGGAGCAGGAAATTCCAGGGAAACTGGAATAACCCCCTTGGGGGGCTGCAGCTCCAGGTCCCACTGGAGATGTCAGCCAGAGCACAGAACCCAGGAGCACCCTCACAGCAGCCAGCTGGGGCCCAGAACACAACCAGGTCACCTCCAAAGGAAACTTACTCTTTATCCTCCTTCTTCACGGAGACAGCGATGTCTTTGATCTTGTTCACAGCCTGGCAAAAAGGCAACAGCTGCATTAATGATTTATGCTCCCGAGCTGCTGAGACCTCCAACCCCCTCTTTGTATTTTATCTTTTGTTCTCTGCACCGACGTCACTGAAGTTCCAAGTGCTTAAGTTATTCCACCCCTGCCAGTGCAGTAATTCCAAGGAATACACCAATACATGAGGAGTGGGAGGAAGCTCAGAGCTGCTCTGCTGCTTCTGTCTTCAGCAGAGACCCCGGGAATCAAAGGGCTATTGAGGAGTGAACCTCCAAAAATCAGCTTAATGGGACCAACAGGCTCCAGGAGACACACAGGTTACTACGAAGCAGAAAACAGGAGGAGCAGGAGAAGGGGAAACGAGTTTTTACATTTCTTCCTTGGAAAAAACCCAAAGGAGGTGACAGCACTGCAGAGGTAACAGCAAGCCTGGCACAGAGAGGCAGTGCTGCTGGCAGGGGGGCAGCAGGAGATGGCTGCTGGCCCTCCCCAGGCCCATTCCCAGGGTGCCCTGGCAGGCTGTCTGTCCTGCCGTGCCTCACCAGCTGCGTGGCCGTGCGGAAGGCGCGGATGATGATCTGGGGGTGCAGCCCCTCCTCCACGTAGGGCTTCACCTGCTTCAGGAACTCAGCTGCCAGCAGGGTCACGGATGTGGTGCCATCACCCACCTGCAGGGACAGGGGACACTGTCACCCCCACGCTGCAGACACTGCCTGAGAGCAGCTGCAAAAGCTCTCCAGAGCTTCCAGGGAAAGCAGAGCTCAGGATTTTCTCCGTTCACAGATTTGTGGCTGAATTCCTCAGTGATTCAGAGTGGTCTGGGTGGGAAGAGCAGAATAAACCCCAGCAGCCCAAGATCAATTCCCAGCAGCCAACACTGAGCCCAGGGCAGCACTGCCTCTCAGGCTGCCCCGTGTTCCACCCCAGCACAGCCAGGCTCCCGTCCCACCTCGGCATCCTGGGACTTGGCGATGTCCACCAGGGTCTTCGCAGCAGGGTGGACAACGTCCAGCAGCTTCAGGATGGTGGCCCCGTCGTTGGAGATGGTGGCTTTGCCTGGGGGGCACGGAGGAAAAGAAGTTAAAGGCAGCTTTACACGAGCAGGGGCAAAGCCATGTCTCTGGGGGCTCTCAGGAGATCTCAGCAGGTTCCCCTGCTCCCCCAGAACTGAGTCCTGTCAGCCCACTGTGGAGCAGGTCCAGTGAGGTCAGTCTGAGAGCAGAACAACTTTCCACACCAACAAGGTTTGGAATTCATTTCCATCTTCTCAAAGGCCTCTCCAGACAGATAAAACCATATTCTAGTCTGAGATTCTCATGAAGAAAGAGCTTAGAAATCATATCAGTTATCATAGGAGGACTTTAAATGCAATTATCCTTTTGAACAAGGATTTACTACAGTTCCTATCTGTAAAAATTATTTAAAGGATTCTTACATTTTCACTCCACCCTTCAGGAACAAAAATAGTAATTAATTAGTTCAATGACTTCATACAAGTCTTTTTAGAGTGGTGGCAAAGCTAATCTCTTAAATCACACTCAAAAAAAAAAAGATTAAAAATCAACCCAGGAACATCTACTGACCTCACACCTTAACACTCAGCCACAACTGCTGAGTAACTCCAGAGGAATCACGAGCCTCATTTAAAAACAGACATGACCAAAAATACCTGAAGGCAGGTTCAAGCCTCTCTGCTTCTGTCTGGCACAGACTTACACTGGATGTATCCAAGTGATGCCTTAGGTTTTAATTTTGTATTTTTCACATTCTGTGCTGCTTTAGTGTGTGGGTCTGAGCTTTACATGAGGGGATGCTGAGCTCTCTGCACAGAGCAGGGAGACAAAACAATTCCTGCTCCAGCTGGGATCAAGGACAAAGGATCCAAATCTCAGGCCCAAGAGCACAAACAACAGCAGAATGAAGAGAAAAAAAAACAGGATAAGACTACAACCTAAAGCTGGGATTGGACACTGAACTGCAATGTGCACATGGAGCAGAGCTGAGCCCAGGGAGAGACCCCGGGATCATCGTGCATTTTGGGACCATTTGGGTTCATCTTGGGACCATTTTGGTTTCATCTTGGGTTCATCCTGGGTTCATTTTGGGACCATTTGGGTTCACCTTGGGTTCATTTTGGGACCATTTTGGGTTCATCTTGGGTTCATTTTGGGACAATTTTGGGTTCACCTTGGGTTCATTTTGGGACCATTTTGGTTCCCCTTGGGTACATTTTGGGACCATTTGGGTTCACCTTGGGTGCAGCCCTGGCTGGGCTCTTGTGCTGCCCAAGGTGGATCCATGGAGGAGATCCTTTGAATAAATCCCTGCTTTATCCTGTAACTCTGTCTGGTCTCTGTTCCAGCTCAGCCCTCCCAAGGCATCCCACCCCCTGGCTGTGCATCCCCGCAGGTGCCCTGGGGAGCAATCAGAATCCTCAGGCTGGACTGGCAACCGTCCTGCCTCCTCCAGGGGACACGGGGTGCTGTGGTGACCCCGAGGCAGAGCTGCAGCTCGGCAGGGCTGCCCCAGCAGGCGGGTGGCCCCAGCTGGCAGGAGCAGCGGGCCGTACCGCGGTCGTCCACGATGAGCTTGTCCATGCCGCGCGGGCCCAGCGTGGTGCGCACGGCCTCGGCGATCACCTGGCACGCGTTGATGTTGCTGACCAGCTGCGGGATGCCCTGCGAGGTGTCCGTGCCCTCCTTCAGCAGGATAACCGGCGTGGGCTGCGGGCAGGAGCACAGCACAGCTGTTAGCCTGGCACCCACAGCCCAGAAGGCAGGAGCGTGAGGAAAAAGGCCAAAAGCACAGATTCATTGTAATTCCTGTGGCCCGCACCACCCAGCTGCTGTCCACTGCTCCCACAGCACTGGGAATTCACAACCAGCACAGGCCCAGGGACACACAGAACTGTCCCAAAAATAACGGGGCAGAACCACTGAGGTTCTGATCTGATGCTGGCCTGGAGGAGACAGAACATGCAGGAATCACAGAGACAGTGAGGAACCAAACAAATCTGGGTGGTGAGAGCACCAGAGCAGCTGTGGCTGCCCCTGCATCCCTGGCAGTGCCCAGGCCAGGCTGGACACTGGGGCTGGAGCACCTGGGACACTGGGAGGTGTCCCTGCCATGGCAGGGGTGGCACTGGGTGGGATTTGGGGTCCCTTCCAACCCAAACCATTCCAGGAGTGCTGCAACCATCCCACAGGCAGAGCCCAAACACTGCCCAAATTTGGGATGCACTGGCACAGAACAGCTCCCAGCAGGCCCAGAGCAGAACTGAGCTGTGCTTGGTGCACTGAGGAGTCACAGGCACAAGAAAAGGAGCTACGCAGAGGGGTCAGTGACGGGCACAAAGAGCATCCTTGGGCTCTGGAGCATCTCTCCTATGAGGACAGACTGCAGGAGCTGGGCCTAGGCTGCAGAAGGGAAGGCTGAGAGGGATCCCATCAATCCATACAAACCTCTCCGAGGCGGTGCCAAAAGGTTGGTGCCAGACTTTTTGGTGATGCCCAGTAACAGGACATCAATTAAAACACAGCAAGTTTCACCTCAACATGAGGAAGAACTTCTTGCCAGGGAGGGTGACAGAGCCCCGGGGCAGCTGCACAGGGAGGGCCTGGAGTCATCCCAAAACGTCCCCGTGTCACCTGTCCCAGTGACCCTGCCCGGGCAGGGGGCTGAACAGTGATCTCCCACCCTATTCTGTGATCCCTGAAACCCGGAGATTGTGCGGAAGAGAACGCACAGCTTTCCTCCACACCCAGCAGGGCAGGAACCCCGAGGGAAAAGCACCCGTTTGTCCCGGGGGCAGTCAGGCTGGACACAGCTCCGGCACCACCGCGGGGCCGGGCGGGGCCGGGCGGAGCGGGCCGCGGGCACGGGGCGGATGGCGGCGGATGGCGGCGGATGGCGCGGGGCGCTCACTCACCATCATCCTGGCGGCGGCTGGCTCCCGGCCCCACAATGCACCGCGCACGCCCAGAACCTTCCCGGGGGCGGGCCGGGGAGGGAGCACTATTTGGCAGGCAGGGAAGAGGGCGCGCAGCGCGGGGAAACGGAATAGAGCACTATTTGGCAGCGAGCGCCGCGGTGACAGCCAGCCGCCCGCGCCGGCCCGCGCGTGATTGATGGCGGCGCAGACCAATAGGAAGGAGCGCGGTGAGACCATCCGCCAATGGGGAGCGCGGGGCGGGGCGGTAGGCGGGGCGCGGCGCAGCCATGCTGCTCTGGCTCTGGCTGTGGCTCTGCGTCTGCTGCTGGCCGGCCCGCGGTGAGTGAGGGACGGGGGAGGCGCGGAGCGGGGACAGCGCCCGGGCCGGGCCGGGCCGGGCCACCGGGCCCGCACCCGGGCCGCGCACACACCCCAGGCACCGCGGGCCGGCCGCCTCCCCGCTCGGCGCACCGGGATCCCGGTGTGTTTCCCCTCCCGTGTCAGTATCCCGGTGTGTTTCCCCTCCTGTGCCAGTATCCCGGTGTGTTTCCCCTCCTGTGTGTGCATCCCGGTGTGTTTCCCCTCCCGGCCTGCTGCGGTTCCTCTCCTGTACCTGTATTGGATTTCTGGGGCATTTCCCCTCGGGGCACCCCCACCTAATCAGGTTTCTCCTCCTACATCCCGATCCGGGCGCATTTTCCCTCCTGCATGCCCGTCCTGGTGCAAGTCCCCGGTGCAGCTCGCCCCAGTTGCATTTGCCCACCCCAGTCCAGCAGCATTTCCTCTGGGGGGGCTCTGAGCCCCCTGGATCTCCCCTCTGACCCAGGTGCATTTCCTATCCCGGTGTATTTCCCCTCCTGTGTCTTTCTCCCGGTGGGATTTCGGGCGCATTTCCCCTCCTGCACCCCAGTCCGGGCGCATTTCCCCTCCTGCACCCCAATCCAGGTGCATTTCCCCTCCTGCATGCCCGTCCTGGTGCATGTCCCCGGTGCAGCTCGCCCCAGTTGCATTTGCCCACCCCAGTCCAGCAGCATTTCCTCTGGGGGGGCTCTGAGCCCCCTGGATCTCCCCTCTGACCCAGGTGCATTTCCCACCACTGCGCCCCAGCTCCAGTGCATTTCCTGCTGCATCCTAACCCAAGTGCATTTTCGCTCCCACTTGTGATGCTGGTGGGTTTCCCCTGTGCTCCCCTCAGCCTGGGTGCCTAGCACCCCTCTCCCCTCCATGGCCCAGCTGCATTTTCCCTTCAGCACCCCGGTCCCAGTGCTTTTGTCATCCCCATCCCCTCTCAGCCCCTGGGAACTGCCACACCTGCCCTTGGAACACCCCAAAACCTTTGGGGAGTTTTGGGTCCTGAGCCCAGCCAGGATTTGGCATTGCTGGAGGGCCTGTTCTCTCCCCCCAGTCGTTCAGGAGGGATAACTGGGACTTTTCCCCTTTTTTCAGGGACTTTGCCCTTAGTTTCCCTTGCCTCAGCTGTTCCTTTCACCCCCAGGACTGCGCATCCATGAGTATTTGTACTTCCAAGTGCTGAGCCCCGGGGACATCCGCTACATCTTCACTGCCACCCCAGCCAAGGATTTCGGAGGCGTGTTTGTAAGTATTAAAAACTGAATCTGCCACTTTGGCTCCCTGCATGCCAATATTGCTCCTTGCTGGGACCCAGTGCTTTGGGGTTTTCATGGAAATGGAGCTCACTGCTCTTCCACAAGCATCCTCGGCAGGATTCCAGAGGCGGGGATTGGCCCCGGGGCTGGCTCTGAGCGTCCCTGAACCCGGGAGCCCAGAATCTCCCCCGAGCAGCCCCCGAGGGAGAGCGGGGTGTGGGACAGCCCACGCGGGCAGGGCTGGGCTGGGGAGCAGCTCCATGGCCCGGCTCAGCCCCGCCTGTCTCCTGGAGAACACGAGGTACGAGCAGATCCACCTGGTGCCGGCGGATCCCCCGGAGGCCTGTGGAGAGCTGAACAATGGGGTCTTCATCCAGGACCAGATCGCCTTGGTGGAGAGGGGGTACGTCTGCGTCATGGCAGCTGCTGGGGGACCCTGCTGGGCAGGAGGGGAGCGCTGGCCACACCTCCCCATCACCTCCAGATCCATCCTGTGCCTTTCCCCACACGGATAAACCAGGAAAATGAGAGGGTGTTCCTAGCCTGGAGAATTGCAGCTTGTATTTTTTAGCCTGTGGTAAGGCAGAAAAAAACGCTGTCTGGGTTCAGACTGAGAGAGTAGGTTTCGATTAGACAGTGGCAAAGAAACTCCTCTCTGTGAGCGGTGAGGCCCTGGCAAAGGTTGCCCAAAGAAATTCTGAATGCCTCATATCCCTGGAGGTGTCCAAGGCCAGGCTGGACATTGGGACTTGGAGCACCCTGGGAAGGTGTCCCTGCCATGGCAGGGGTGGCACTGGATGAGCTTTAATGTCTCTTCCAACCCAAACCATTCCACATTTTATTTAATTTTTTTTAGGAGTGTGGGTGGCTTGTACCTAAAACCAGACTCAGAGGAGCAGGGTTTGGAGGAGGTGTGGAATCAGGGAGACAATCCCCAGTCTGGCTGTCTCCAGGCCAGCTCTGGCAGGCGCAGGCTCTGGAGCTGCCTGTGGCCACCGCAGCTGGTGACAGTGTGGTCCCCCTGTGGCCCAGGGGCTGCTCGTTCCTGTCCAAGACACGAGTGATCCAGGAGCACGGCGGGCGGGCCGTCATCATCGCTGACAACGCCTACGACAACGACAGCTTCTACATCGAGATGATCCAGGACAGCTCCCGGCGCACGGCCGACATCCCCGCGCTCTTCCTGCTGGGCAGGGACGGGTACGTGCCAGGCTGCCTGCCCGGGTGGCACAGCTCACAAACGGCCGAGTGACAGCCTTGTCCCTCTCAGCAGGGAGGTCCCAGCTGGGCCTGGCTTTGGGAGCCGCGTTTTGCATGGATTCAGTCCTGCTCAGCAGGCAGCTGGAGCTGGGCTGTGCTTTGTGCCCAGGTCTGGCTGCACTGCCAGCCCTGGCAGCCGGGAACAGCTGTCACCCTCCATCCCCCAGGTACATGATCAGGCGCTCCCTGGAGCAGCACGGGCTCCCCTGGGCCATCATCTCCATTCCTGTCAACGTCACCAGCATCCCCACCTACGAGATGATGCAGCCCCCCTGGACCTTCTGGTAGCAGCTGGAGGCTGTGGTGGATCGAGGCCTTCCTGGTGCGTCCCAGGATCTTGCCCTAAGGACCAGGTTTGAGGAAAGGATCCCAACGTGCTCCAGAGATCCCGCTGGATCCGGCCACAGGGAGATCTTCCTGCTGGCACCGGTGCGTGGCCAAGGGCAAACACCAATTCCAGGGGGAACCCTGAGCCAGGCACCGGGCTGTGACTGTGTGGGAGGGGGGTGAGGGCCCAGAGCAGGCCAGCACCTCCCTGGAAACATTTGACGTTGTGCTGCTGATTTGGAGGGATGCAGGACTGGCAGGGATGGGGAGAGCGATAGAGGCTTGGTCTGTTCCAGCACGGCTCACCTGATGTCTGTATATTTTTGTCTGAGCTAATGAAGTCTGAGTAAGTTTTAGAGAAAGGGAAGTTTCTCTTTTATTTCCAGCAGTCAGCAGATGTTGGGATAAATCTCATCCTCAAATTTTTTCCCAGTAAAATTCTCCAAATGCCTCCTGCAGCTGGGGCAGGGCTCAGTCAGAGCCGCATGGGACAGCACAGCCTCCAGCAGGGATGGGCTGGTCACAAACCCAGAGCCCACACTTGAAGGTGTCTGTTCCCTGAGCCCTGTGTCCCCGGGTCACAGCCCACTCAGCACCCAGCAATACAAAGCACAGGTCCCCAGCTGTCACCAGTCTCGGTTTATTAGGAACACTGAAGGGGATGTGGCCCTGGTAAGGCTGGGGACAAGCAGCGGGAGGCAGGGTTGGCAGTGATGGCAGTGCCACAGGTGTGCCACCCTCGGTCCCACAATCCAGCTGCCACAGCCATGGCAGCAGGAACACAGCTCCCCAAAATCCGTGGAGGAAGGAAATAACCCTGGGTGCATCCCTGACCTGCTGCCTGTCTGTCATTTGGAGCCGTTGTCCCTCCAGCCACGTCTGCACACAGGGACACTGCTGCATGGTGTGGCCTTGAGGGTGGCACAAGGGATGGATGACAAGGGGACATCCAGTGGGGCCACTCTGTGCTGGCACATCTCCCCGGGCACATCCTTGTCCCACAGCCAGCTGAAGGGAGGGACAACTCCCTCCCTAGAGAACCCAAAGTGTCTTCTGGGTTTGGGATGACACCACAGCCCGTGTCAGCTCCTGGCCATTCTCCATCCCCACATGCTCCTGCAGTCTCTGCCCGGGGCTCTGTGTCACAGGAAGGATGGACTGAGCTGGGAAGGTGTCTGCAGGGTCTGCTCTGCTCTCCCTGCTGGACTCGAGCTCTGGGCCACTCTCCAGGGCATCCCCTGCAAGATCCTGCTGCCCCTCACTGCTGGCCAAGGCATGGAATGAGGATATCTAAGGGCCCCAGCTCCACAGGGTGTAGATAGTGCTAATATAGACATTAAATAGTACCCTCGTGCACAGACACACGGACACACACACACACATTGCCCTCGTCCCTGCAGGGTGGGAAGGACAAGCTCCTCCACATCCACAGCCTGCACAGACACAGCAGAGCGACCTCACGGGTGACAGCGTGGTGTCCCAGGGGCTGGCTGGACCCCACTCTCCTCCAGCCTCCCCTGCAAGCACCAGCCAGCCCCACCGGGAACTGGGATGTGCTGGAGGGCCACTGGCTCACAGCTTGTCCTCGCAGGGAGGACAGGGACAGCCTGACACACACACAGACACGCACAGGGACACAGACAGGCGGGAGCAGGGCCTGCCTCCGGCTCCCGGCTGCCCCCTCCGGCACCTCGGCACGCGGCGCCCACCCGACCCCACGACACAACCCTGTTCTAAATTAAAGCTGCTGCCTCTCGGAGGAGCCTCCAGGCCCTTCCCTTCCATCCCTTCCCTCTCCTCTCGCCCGGGACCAGGATCACACGTCAGTCATCTCATCCTCCAGCTCTGCATCGTCCGTCTCTCCTTCGCCCTCCTCCTCTTCCTCCGACGTCACGTCGGCGTCGTCGGCTTGCGCGAGGCACTTGGGACACGAGCAGGTGAACAAGTAGTTCTCCCTG